TCGCTGGAGCCAGAAGTTTGAGACCAGACTAGGAAACATGGCAAAATCCCATCTCTACAAAATATACAAATATTTACCCAGGCGTAGTGGCATGTGCCTGTAGTTCCAGCTCCTTGGGAGGTTGGAGTGGAAGGATTGCTTGAGCCCAGGAGTTTGAGGTTGCAGTGAGCTGTGTGATCACACCACTGCACTCCAGCCTGGGCGAGAGAACAAGACCCTGTCTCTTAAAAAAAAAAAGGAAGAAGAAAAAGAAGGTAATAAAGGAGGATTAAAGGATTAAAGGAATAAAAAGACCTAAGACATATAGAAAAAAATTGCAAAATGGCAAACATAAAAACTAGGATGTAATTGCATTCTGTCTATATAGAGACATCTTTATAGATTCAAAGACACAAATAAATTGAGGGTAAATATGAAAAATCATACACCATGCAAACAGTACTAAAAGAGAACCAGAAAAGCAACATTTATATTAGAACTAAAAGCACTTTATGACAAAAAAAACTATTAGCAGAGACACAGAAGACTCTCTGATACTAATAAAAGGGTCAAATCTTCAGTAAGACACAATTATAAACATATGCATATAAAGAGAGACCTAAGAAATGAAACAAAAACTGACAGAATTGAAGAGAAAAATAGACAAGTCAAGAATAATAGTTGGAGTCCGGGTGTGGTGGCTCATGGCTGTAATCCTCGTACTTTGGGAGGCTGAGGCAAGAGGATCGCTTGAGGCCAGGCGTTCAAGATCACACTGGGCAACACAGGGAGACCCTGTTTCTACAAAAAATAAACAAATCAGTCAGGCGCAGTGGCACATGGCTGTAATCCTAGCTGCTCAGGAGGCTGGGGTAGGAGGATTGCTTGAGCCCAGAAGGTTGAGGCTACAGCAAACTATGGTCTCACAACTGTATTCCACCTTGGGCGACAGAGCAAGACTGTATATCAGAATACACACACACACACACACACACACAGCAAGACTGTATATCAGAACATACACACACACAAAGTAATGGTTGGAGATTAAATACTTCACTTCTAATAACAGAACAACTACACAAGATCAACAAGGAAATACAAGAAATAACACTATAAACCAACCAGATCTAAGAGACACTTACAGAATAATACACACACCAACAGGATAATACACATTCTTCTCAAGTGCATGTGGAACACTCTCCAGGACAGACTACGTTAGGTCTTAAAAGAAGCCTCAATAAATTAAAAAGGACTGAATGAAATGATACAAAGTTTGTTCTCCAACTGCAACGTAATTATATTAGACATGAGTAACAGAAGGATATTTGGGAAATTCACAATTATATGGAAATTAAACAACATATTTCAAAATAACCAACAGGTTGATGAAGAAATTTTTTTTAATTGGAAAACATTTCGAGAGTAATGAAAGTGAAAAGACAACATATCAAAACTTAAAGGATATAGCTAAAACAGTACTAAGAGGAAAGCTTATACTTGTTAAGTATATATACCAAACAAAGGGAAAGATACCAAATCAATAATCTAGATTTTCATCTCTAGAAACCAGAAAAATGAGAGCAAACGGAACCCAAAGTAAGCAGAAGGGAGGAAATTTAAAAGATTACAGCAGAAATCAATGAAATCGAAACTAGAATAACAACAGAAAAAAAAAAAAAATCAACCAAACCAACAGTTATTTGAAAAGACCAACAAGATTGACAAATGTTTAGCTACACTGAACAACAAGAAGGCTCTGAATCTTCTATTAAAATCAGGAATTCTATGATGGGAAGAATGAGGTCAGAAAAATAAATAAGTAAATATAAAAAATAAAATATAATCAGAAATTCACAAAGGGACATCACTATTAATCTTCTGAAAATAAGAAAGGACTGTAAGGGAATATTATCAACAATTATATGCCAACAAATTGGACAACCTAGATGAGATGGACATATTCCTAGAAATAAAAACCTATCAAGACTAAATCATGAAGAAAAATAAAATCTGAATAGACCTATAACTAGTTACTGAAGAGACTGAATCTGTAATCAATAATCGCCCCACAAAGAAAAGCCCTGTACCTTACGGTTTCACTGGTGAATTCTATCAAACATTTAAAGAAGAACTAATATCAACCCTTCTCAAACTTTTTCAAAAAGTTCAAGAGGAGGGAACACTTCCTAATTCCTTCTATAAGCCCAGCATTATGCTCATACCAAAGCCAGAAAAAGACACCATAAGGAAACTACAACAGGACCACATATGAACACTGATGCAAAATTCCTTAACAAAATACTAGCAAACCAAATCCGGCAGCATATTAAAATAATTATACACCATGACTAAGTGGAATTTATTCCTGGAAAACAAGGATGGTTATGGTTAAACATTAAAAAAATCAATCAATATACCACATTAAAAGAATAAAGGGGAAAAAACAACATGATCATCTCAATACAGAAAAGCATTTGACAAAATTTAACACTTGTATCATTAAAACTCAACAAACTAGGAACAGAATGAAATTACCTCAACATAATAAAAGCCATATATGAAAAACCCACAGCAAACATCATATACAACAGTGAAAGACTTTTCCTCTAAGATCAGGAACAAGGCAAGGATGCCCACTTTAGCCATTTCTATTAAACGTAGTACTGGAAGCTCTAGTCAGGATAATTAAGAAAGTAATTAAGAAAGAAAAATAAGGGGCCGGGCATGGTGGTTCACACCTGTAATCCCACGACTTTGGGAGGCTGAGGCAGGTGGATCACAAGGTCAGGAATTCGAGACCAGCCTGGCCAACATGGTGAAATCCCATCTCTACTAAAGATCAAAAAATTAGCCAGGCATAGTGGTGCACGCCTTTAACCCTAGTTACTCAGGAGGCTGAGCCAGAAGAATCACTTCAATCCAGGAGGCGGAGGTTGCAGTGAGCCCAGATCACACCATTGCACTCCAGCCTGGGTGACAGGGTAAGACTGTCTCAAAAATAAAATAAAATAAAATAAAAAGTATCCAAATCAGAAAGAAAAAGTAAAATTATCTCTGTTCACAGATCTTACCATCTTATTTGCAGAAAATTCTAGATTCTACAACAAAACTATTAAAATAAATGAATTCAGTAAAGTAACAGGATACAAGTCAACACCCAAAAATCAGCTGCATTTCTAAACACTAACAATGAACAATTTGAAAAGAAAATTATGAAAGGAATTCCATTTATGAAAGCAGCAAAAAGAATAAAATACTTAGGAATTAACTAAAGAAGTGGAAGACATATACTTATACAATGAAAACTATGAAATATTGCTGAAAGAAATTTTAAAAGACATAAATAAATGGACATATATCTTATGTTCATGGATCAGAAGATGTGACACTGTTAAAATGTCAAAACTACCCAAAGATTCAATACACTCACTACCAAAATCACAATGACTTTTTTGCAGAAATAGAAAAATTCATCCTATAATTCATACGAAATCTCCAGGAATCCAAAATGGCCAAAACAATATTGAAAAAGAACAAAGAGGACTCACATTTTCTGATTTCAAAACATTCAAAGCAACAGTAATCAAAATACTAAGGTACTGGGATAAAGGAAGACATACACACCAAGGGAAAAGGATAAATAGCCCAGAAATAAACTCTCGTATATTTGGTCCAATGATTTTCAACAAGAATGCCAGTATCTCTCAATGCAGAAAGGATAGTCTTTCCAACAAATGGTGCTAAGAAAACTGAATATCCACTTACAAAATAACTAAGACAAACCCTTATGCAATACCATAAAAAAATTAACTCAAAATGACTCAAACGTAAGACCTAAAATTATAAAACTCTCACAAGAAAAAATGGGGCAAAAGCTTCAGGATGTTGGATTTGGCAATGATTTCTCACACATGACACCAAAGGCATAGGCAACAATAATAAAAACAGATGAACTGGACTTTATGAAAATTTAAGAATTTTGTGCATCAAAAGGCAATATCAACACAGAATGGGAGCAAATATTTCCAAATCAAATACCTGACATAGTATTAATAACCAGGTAATATGGAGGACTCTGAAAGCTCAACAACAAAAAATAAACAACCTAATTAAAAAATGGGCCAAGTACTTGAAAAAACATTTCTCCAAAGAAGATAGACAAATGGCCAATAAGCATATGAAAAGATGCTCAACCTCGCTAATCATTAGGGAAATGCAAATTTAAACTACAATGAAATACCATCTTATACTCATTAGAATGGTTACTATAAAAACAGAAAAAGAAAATAAGTATTGGCAAAGATGTGAAGAAATTGGAACCCTTGTGCCCTATTGGTGAGAATATAAAAAAGTACAGCACTTGTGGAAAACAGTACGGTAGTTCTTCAAAAAATTAAACATAGAATTACCATATGACCCAGCAATTCCAGCTCTTGGTACAGAACCAAAAAACTTGAAAACGAGATTTCAAAGAGATATTTGTAAACTCATGTTCACAGCAGCATTATTCACAAATAGCCAAAATGTGGAAGCAACCCAAAGTGTCCACTAATGGATAAATGGATAGATTTTAGATAAGCAAAATGTATACAATTACAATGGATTATAATTCAGCCTTAAAAAGGAAAGAAACTCTGAAATATGCTAAAAGACGGATGAACCTTGAGGACATTATGCAAAGTGAAATAAGCCAGTCACAAAAAGATAAACACTGTATGATTCCATTCAATATGAGGTACATGGAGTAGTCAAAATCAGAGACATAGAATGGTGGTTACCAGAGAATGGGGGTAGGGGAATGGGGAGGTACACCATTATTATTTAATGGGTCTAGAGTTTCAGTTTACAAGACAAAAAGAGTTCTGAAGATGGACTGTGGTGATGGTTGCACATTATGAAAATATTAAATACCACTAAATAGTATACTTTAAAATGTTAGGATTGTGGCTTTTAGGTTTTGTGTATCTTTACAAAATAAAAGTGGGGAAAAATTATTCTTTTAACTAATAACTTACACAACAGGTTGCGCTAGTTGGTGGGTGACAGGAGCACTAACATAAGCTGCAGGCTGTATGCCCATCATTCCTGAACCATCTTAAAGAAAAAAGAAAAGAAAAGTTTATTTAGAATAACCATTTAATAACATTTTATTTATTCCTCCAGAAAAAGGTACATAATCAAAATGTTACCTAGGGAAAACCATCAATATTTCCTTCTGGGTTAGAAGTTAGCAAAGAATAGCATAAGAAAACACAATTGTTATTTCTTAAATAGAGATGAAAAGGAAGTAACTATAAAATGTAACTGGGCTGTAAAATAGGGCATTTATTAAGTCAATATATAACATCTGAATTAAGCAAAGCTGTGCTTTTCTCATTTAGATATTTTTTGTTTACACAAAAAAACAATTTTCCTTATTGAGCCACGGGGGGAGAAAATGCTTACCCTATAGATAACTTACAATAAGCAAGACTGGGATCCAAAGTATTCCTGGCCCCATAAAAATAGTATGCATCATCATAAGGAGTTCGATAGTTAGTAGCCAAAGGGGGTAGTAGGGGAGGTGGAGGCAGAGGTGCAATCCTGTATGAAAATAAAAATGAAAAATTCCTCTCTTGTTTCATTGCAATTTTTTTAAAAAAATCAAGATATTACTTTTGCAAAAACAGTACTGAAAATCCTATCACTACTTTAGAAAAAGTCACCCCCTTGCTCCAATCATTCATCAAAAATTATGACTCAAAAAGCAAATACTATTACATAGGATTTCACAATTTCAGGTACATTTATGTAAGACAAAAACCTGGCTTAATATTCAACCAATTAATATCCAATAGGCACAATGTGCCAGTATCAAATAAAGACAGACATGGTCCCTGTCCCTCAGGAGTAACATGAAAATAAACAACTACAGTCAGGTACAAGCAAATTAAATAATAGTACAAGCAAATTAAATTAAATAGTAATATAGCCCAGAAAACGTAGAGAGCTATAGGTACAGGAGCAGGGACATTTAAACCACATGAGGGAGAGAAAGCACATGTAAGGCTTTCCAGAAGAGGCAACGTTTAAGTCATGCTACTGGAGTGAGCTTGTGTGTGTTAGAGGAAGGACAATCCAGAAAGAGAAGGCAAAGAGCTACAAAACAGTGTAAGTACAAATGGTTCAGTCTGACTGAGGAAACAAGTGTATTTCTTAATAGTAAAATAAAAGCAACTTAAATACCAAAAGTAAAGTACTGACATAATCTTTAGTATTTCATAAATGTAAAACTTCTGAAAACCTCTACATTAGGACTTCATTACTGATTAGGAAATATCTCTGTATTTCCACCAATGCAGTATTTTTCAGTAGTAAAAATGGCAAAGGCAAATTCCTTTAAATGAATAGAAAGAGATGGCAGCATCCTTGAATGTTCTCACTGTTGTATGTATCTTAACAGGTTCTCCCTTGTCATATACTTCAAAATAATTCCAAAGAACTAAGAAGGCCCTGAAGTTCTCTTCAGTAGGGAATATCTTTCATATTTACTAGCCACTCAATGTGTCTAACCCTTACACTATCCTCACAACAAAGACACATAAACAAAAATGTCAAATAACTGTTATGAAAGGGAGCTGTCATTATCATTAAATCTAATTTTATAGAGATTTATACAAACTAATCCTCACTACCCTATAATTGTAAACATGAAATAAAATATACTACTACTCCACTTTTACAAATGAGAAAACTGAAGTTCAACAAAGGTGTGGTTTGCCCAAAATCCAGAGAGGAAAGCCAACCATTTCAATCCCTAATTCAATGCTGAGACCACCATAAAATGCTCTGACAATTCCAATCCCTCCTATTCTTGAGTCAGGAAGCCAACAGATGAAAAACACAAAGTCCCTGGTAAGTACAGTAAACACAGTTCTACAGTGGGTTAGTAACTAAAACACCAACTTCTACTGAAATAATATAGTTCAGAAAATATCGATGTTCAAAAAAGTTAAGAAAAACACCTCTAAATTTAAATATATTTTATAATTAATATACTACCAGTGAACAAAAAATAAGCCCAGGTCCTACAAAGAAGAAAGTATAGCCCAGAAAATATCAGTGTTAACAACAGGATTTTCTTTATGTATACTCTATTATAGCCTTTTACCTATAGAAATCAAATCTTTACCCCAATACCTAAATTACAGGTTTTATAATCTCAACACTTTTTATTTCAGGCATTTGAGTTACACAGCCCATAAGTAATCACAGAGAATGAGCTGAAGGAAACAGAAGCTAAATAAAATTATACATATAAAAGAGCCACATTAGAAACTTTTTCTGCACAAATTGAAGAATTCAATGTTTGCCAAGTGGAAACAACGAAATTGAAAAAAATGTACAACTTTTATATGTTAAAAGATATCAAAAACAGACATCCCAAAATACGACCTAAAAGTAAGTAAATACTAAAATGTACTTAGTAATTCATTCTAAAGATACAAAATCATCTTTAAACAATAAAATGTTTTAAGAATTTCCCTTATTTTTGTAATAGCAGAGAAAAAAACAAATTTCAGGAGAACTTATTTCACAAAACTGTTAACTGTACAAAATCTCTGAAGAATAATGTTATCTGCTTCAGCACATCCTTCTAAACATAAAATATAGCAATACCTTACCTAATTCCCACACACAAAACATTTAAACAAGCACCTGGGAGACACCATTTCACCAAAGGCGCTGTTGAGTCCACTGCGCAAATCTTCATTTTGAGAAGGAACGGAATGAACTGATGGGATGGGTGGGACAGATTGGGCAGATAAAGGAGGGAGAGGTGTCTGGAAAGCTATTCTGGGTCTTTCAGGTGGTATCATCTCTTCAAAGTGTCTTGGTGCCACACTAAACTGCTTTAGTCTATCAGGCTAAAATAAAGAAAAAAAATCTGTTTGTTACATATAATCATAAGTTTAAAGGTAGAAGGGACTTCAAAAGACCTCCTATCCCAGCAGGTACTTAAGACAGTCACAGAATAACAGAATTTTACAGCTATAAAAGACTCCAAATATCTATTTTTATTTATTTATTTATTGAATAACGGAATTTTACAGCTATAAAAGACTCTGAATATTTATTTATTAATTTATTAATTTATTTATTTATTTACTTTTGAGACAGAGTCTCACTCTGTCGCCCAGGCTGGAATGCAATGGCACGATCTCAGGTCACAGCAACTTCCACCTCCTGAGTTCAAGCAATTCTCCTGCCTCAGACTCAGAGTAGCTGGGATTACAGGCATCTGCTACCACGCACAGCTAATTTTTGTGAAGAAGGGGGTTTCGCCACATTGGCCAGGCTGGTCTCAAACTCCTGGCCTCAAGTGATCCACCTGCCTCAGCCTCCCAGGGTGCTGGAATTACAGGTGTGAGCTTCTGCGCCCAGCCAGATTCTCAATATCTAATGTTTATTTTATAAATGGGTAATTGAGGTTCTCTGAGAAGTAATATACCACCTAAGGTCTCGTTATTAGTAAAGAATTAAGTAAAGACTAGAGTCAGATATTAATTTTAAATATATCTGCAGTATTATTTCTATGTACTAGGACACTGTGCTACTTCTCTAATCGCCATTTCTGTTATCTGTTACAAAGTATTCTGTAAAACAGGGTCAGCAAATGCTTTCTGTAAAGGGCTAGACAGTAAATAGGATTTGCAAGACTACATAGTCTCTTCATAACGAGCAGACTCAGCCACAGTGCTAAAGCAGCCACAAACAGTATGTCAACGAATGAGCAAGGCTGTGCTGCAACAAAACTGTTTTTTATGAAAACAGGCAGCAAAAAAATTTGGCCACAAGCCACACTTTGCTAATCTCTACTTTAGAACATCACTTATATGCCCTTTTCTAAGATTTGCACATCTAAAGTAAACCCAAAAATAAAGGCCTGTTTCCTCTAATTACTTATTTATTCTCATAAATCAACTTGACACTCTATAGGAGCTTCAATTCAAAGATAAATAAGGTCTGTCACACACTAGTGTAACCATAAATACAAAATTTAACATGCCAACATATTACCTTAAAAAGCTCACCTTTTAAAAGGAAACTTTTGATTGATAAAAGAAAATACATTTAGCTTTGAAATTTATCTTCTTTTTTTTCTACCATGGTTATCAGGAATGATTTCTCAGGTTAACCTAGAAGCATACTGTCAGTGATGCTGGTGCAATATTAAACTTTTCCAAACAGATAACCCACAGGATATATTCTCGGCATAAGTAAAAGCAAATCAAAAGTTGCCTACAGGTAAATAATTTTAAGTTGCTGCATCCTTTTTAAGAATGAGCTTTTTAATGAAATTAAAGGTCTTAATCATCATTCAAAGATGAAACATGACTTGTATTAGAAATAAATACTACATAACCAACTACAGAAAAAATAAATTGTGGTAAAAACACAGAAAAAATAAATTGTGGTAAAAACAATAAATTACCTCCTCCTTACTTAACTGCAATGATGTGAGTAATTCATTCCACTTAACGATGAGAATTGCAAAATTCAAGTAAAAATAAGATTATTATCTCTCTAATGTTACAATAAGTAACAATTACTAAAACGCTTTAAAAATAAACTCTTCGGTTTTCTCAGAAATCATTCCAATATAAGAAAAGTAAATGATCAAGATGTATTCAAGAAAAATATTAACATCAATTATAAATTTAACCAAGATAACTCTCCATGGAATAGTACGTGTGAACAAAGCAGAGAGAACTAATTTAAAATAAACTTTAAAAAATGACACGCAAATGAAAAAGGAAATATTATGTCAAGGAAATAACAGTTAAGAGAATTTACACTTTATGAGAACAGTTTTAATTAATTTTATTACTGTTCAAATTGGTCTACTCTCTTTTTCTCCCAATATTCTCTATCCCCACCTGCCACCACATTTGAGGATCATCTGATGAAAGATTAAACATTAAACGATGCCAGAAACCCTTACCGATTTCTCAGGGTCTTGTGCTCCAGACGCTGCAACCCTGAGTTCTAAATCTTTTTCTCTAAACAAAATTAAAGTTTTACATATTAAAAAGATAAACTATCAAAATTATAAATCATCACTGAAAGAAGCTTATACACAAAGTCTATGCAATATATCTACAAAAACAAATAATTCCTTTAACTGACATTACAGCCTTAAATAATACTGAAAGCCAAATTTTTTTTACTTGATACAAAGTAAACTAGAATTCACATGTAACTTAGACTATGTATCTCTAAGCCAATGCCCAGAGTATTTCAAAGACTAAGTAATTCACACAAAATAAAATACAGAAATAAAATCTTTACCTTGCAAAACTAAAAACCTCTTTTAGGGCACACATATATTTTCAGTTAGCAAAAAGAAGGGTAAAAATTTAAATATATCTACCATACTTCCTAATAACAGGGTTTTTTTTTAAATGTTAAAGATAACTAACATCAAACAGTAGATATTGGCTTCCTCTGAGATAGAAAAAGGTAAAAACTAAGAGATAACAGGTCTCAAATTCTCTCAAAACAAGATATCTATTCCTAATTTTGTTGTTGCTGTTGTTGTTGTTGAGTCAGAGTCTCGCACTGTCTCCCGGGCTGGAGTGCAGTGGCGTGATCTCGGCTCACTGCAACCTCCACCTCCCAGGTTCAAGCAATTCTCCTGCCTCAGCCTCCTGAATAGCTGGGACCACACGTGTGTGCCATCATGCCCGGCTAATTTTTTGTATTATTAGTAGAGATGGGGTTTCACTGTGTTAGCCAGGATGGTCTCGATCTCCTGACCTCGTGATGTACCCGCCTCAGCCTCCCAAAGTGCTGGGATTACAAGCGTGAGCTACTGTAATTTCTAATTTTAATCTATATTTAAAATTTCTAATTTTAAACTCTATTCCTAATTTTAAACTATAATATTTCATAGGTATTTCAACAAGAAAGACTATAAACAATGATACCTATATACAACATAAATACTTGTGATTTATCATTCCTGTGGAATTGAGGAAGCCATTGAAGTTTTTTGAGCAGGGCGCCAGTCTGATTAGTGTATTTTTTGACAGTTAATATCATAGTGTGCTGGATCTATTGGAGCAGGGAGAAGGGAGTTGGGAAGACTAGTTATTAGTTAGGAAGCTATTGCTGCAACCCAGGTCAGATGTACAGAGGACTCATCCAAGGTTAATGGCTCTGAGAATAGAAAGAAGGAGGGGGCCTCATATGAAGTGAGTAAGAGAGGACAAGGAATACAAGTCATAGTGAGATTTTGAGGTTCCATTATTGAGCTATTAATAGAAAATGTAGAGGGACAGTTGGTTTTGAGATGCTCATTTGGGATGGAAATGTTAAATTTATAGGATACAATTTTTTTTTTTGGCACGTATGTGTGTGTGCATACCATTTCATATGGCAAAAAATACTTTTATATTTGTTACTATATATGGGATAATCCAGAGGGTGTATCTGTAACATTAAATGCTACCTTAAATCAAAAACTGAAGAAACCAATGAAGGAAGTAAAAGGTCTATCACAGAATATACAAATACTCTCACTTGCAACTTATGGTCAAAACAACAACAACAACAAAAACTCTCTTGGTATTTATTTTCCTTGTTGATTTACCATGTAGAGACTAAAATATAAGTGATTTACAAATCAAACATCATATTAGAAAGACAACCCCTTATTTAACCATCTACACAAATGCATTTTAAACTCAAAATATCTCTTTTAAATGCAAACCTTTCATTACCGTCTCTTGTTCCTCTGTTGCTCAGCCATTTGTTCCAACAGTTCTAGTCTGTATTTCTCTTTCCTTCTCTGAATAAGTTCTCGATCTTCACCTCCTAGATAGTGGTATCAGAAAAATGCAATCTTAACTCTTAAGTATCGTATGCAATTAGAAAGTCAAGTCCTTAAAAACTCTGTCTTAATTGTATCATATAATTACTGAATATGCAAGAAATACAGAAGGAAAAAATCACATAAATCAGTCCTTATTCAATTATTTTTGTAATTTATGGGTACCTACTATGTGTCAAACACAAGATACAGTAATCATGCCCATGCCTCTACCAGTAGTCAAAAATTTTCCTAAATAACAGAATATTCTTATCCCAACCCCATTTTTCTAACAATCTAAATAATATTTCCATTAATATCTTCCATAAGTCTTATAAATTTAACATTTCAATCCCAAATGAGCACCTCAAAATCATCTGCCCCTCTTCATTTTCTATTAATGGACCAATACTGGAGCCTCAAAATCTCACTATAACTTGGATTGCTTGTCCTCTTCTATTCACTTCATATGAGGCCCCCTCCTTTCTATTCTCAGAGCCATTAACCTTGCATAAGTCCTCTCTACATCTGACCTGGACTGCAGCAAAAACTTCCTAACTAATATCCAGTCTTCCCAACTTCCTTCTCCCTGCTCCAATAGATCCAGTACACTATGTAATATTAACCATCATAAAATACACTAATCAAACTGGCACTCTGCTCAAAAAAATTCAGTTCTGCAGGAAAAAATATAAACCTCTCACCCTGGTATTCCTTACACAAAAATTCAGCTAATCAAAAATTTTGAATGCAGAGAAGATTATTATTATTGCATATGTTAACACCACAAAATAACCTCTTAATCTAGATATGCAAGATCTGGAACACTACAAAAATCACAGGGTATCAAGAATGCAATTGAAACAGCAATTTCTGTACTGCCTTCATTACTGGTCTCCAACCATCAGTGGGCACACAGCATCTCAGTTTGTCCATTAAGCACAGATGTCAGCAAAAGTGAAGCTCCCATAGAGGTTACATGAATTACATTAAGATTAATAACTGTGTTTTATAATAAAAGTAAATATTCCCATTCCACTTCTGACCATGATAGAATAACCAACCACAAGACTTAACCTCACACTGTTTAAAAAACAAATAAACAACAACAACAACAAATTAGAAAAGTGGACAAAATACACAGAATAATTGTTTTCCAGACACTGGACAAGAGGTAGTACAGAACTGTAATACCTAAGGGAAGGAAAATAGATGAGGTGAGCCCTATAATCACCCAATTTCTGCCCAAATGAAATTTCCAGACCACAGATACAGGTAAAGAGGTAAAGAGAACCCAAAGAGGGCCAGGAAACTGAGCTAAATTGAATAGATAAAGAGCAAAATTCAGGAAGGCTAAAATGGCTAGAAGTTATGGAGCAAAGATCCAATAGGAAGCACAAAAAGAGCTCCAGAAATCCACAGGAGGTCCCTTCAGACTTTGCAGTGTGCTAGTTTGTGCATTCACAGAGTGAAATTCCATTTGGCCTGGCAACAAACTAAGAAGGATATGCAAACTGAACAATTCTCAGACCTGAAACAAAGGAGAAAAATCCAAGCTCTAGCCAGCTATGTTCTTGGTGGTCTTTCAGGGAACACGTCAGAAAGGTCACTCTGTAGTAGCAAGACTAAACTATTCTCTGAAAGGAAAGCTACTCTAGAGGTCCCTAGCTAAGTTTAAAACTGAACTCAGATCAAATTGGTCTTTAGTGAGGGAGAAGGAAAGGAAAAATCATTTTGGAAAAAATTCAGACTGCAGAAGCAGCCTGCTTGAAAAGTCACAGCAACAGACAAAAATAAAACCACCTGGGGGAAAAAATAAAACCTCAGGCTGCACCTGGACAGATAAGCAAGGGTCTAGCACAGAGCTCTTCGTTCTTTGTCTAATTAGTGAACTCCCAGGAAAGTTTCCACCTCCTTTCAGGCATATTCATAGTGGGAACTTGCATGGGGGTGGGGCAGGGGTGGCTTATCTAACACAAACCCAGTTATACAAACAAGACAAGCAGCTTTCTGCTTGCCTAGAGAGGTACCCAGAGCTGTATAAGGTAACACGAGTTGCACAGATAGTTTTACTGATAAGTTACTCAAACTGCTACAGAGATTAAGTTTCTTATAAAAGCTTTTCAATTCAGCTGTAACCCGGCCATCTACTTAGACTCCCCTCTTCCCTGCAGAGAGCTTTTTTTCTTTCACTTATTAAACTTTCGCTCCAACCCCACCTTTGTGTCTATATTTCTTAATTTTCTTAGACATGGGACAAAGAACCTGGGGTAATAGTTCAGACAACGAGAAACTGCTACATTAAGGAGCATGTGTGAGACTGCAACATTAGTAACAGAGAAATGTGACAATGGTAGGCAAAATTTTTTAAAGATGGCTACTACGTTCCCTGCTCCCTGCTGAATCCCTGTATAATTCCCTCCCCTTGAGAATGGGTAGGACCTGTAACTTACTTGTATACAATAGAATATGGAAGGGTGGAAAAAATATTTGCAGATGTAACTAAGGTACTGAATCAACTAATTTTGAAGTAATTAAAAGGGAGATTATTTTAGGTGGACCTGATACAATCAGGTGAAAGCCCTTAGAAGGAATGGGCCCTTCCTGAATTTAGAGATTCCTCTTGCTGGCATAAAGTTAAGTAACCATGGTAAGGAAGCCCACATGGCAAGGAACAGCAGATGGCCACTAGGAACTGTGGGTAGTCTCCAGTGGGTATCCAGTAAGAAGCCAGGGCCCTCAGTCATATAGCCACAAAGAAATGAATTCTGCCAACAACCTGCATTAGCTTAGAGGCAGATTCTTCCCCACTCAAGCCTCCGGTTAAAAAGCAGCCTGATGGATACCTTGATTATAGCCTTTTGAGACCATTAGCAAAGGATCTGTTCAGTAAACCATGCCCAGACTTGACCCACTGGAGTTGCTGCCTGAATGCAATTTCCAAATGTTCACTAGAAAAACTAGGATCAAACAACACAGAAGACCTAAAAGAGATACTTTTGTGACATTCAGGCACAAAACATGGCCCACATTCCAGACTTTCAAAGCAGACTATACAAAGCAAAAGCTGCAAGCTATGGTGAAGGGACAGAAAATCAGCTTGGGCCCAATATCCCACAATCTTACATAGCAAAGGCTTGTTACTGTTAGGGGAAGGGCAAAAAAAATCTGGTGAAAAATCTGATGCAAAACCCTCCTCAGACACAAAGAAGAGTTTAGCTATCATCCTGGGCAAGGACAGAAATGTTGAGAAAGACCCATCACTGAGGCCCAGATGCACAGGACCAGTACAGCATCAAGTAACAACCAACAGCAATATATTGCTGAGAAGGGGGAAGTGTGGAGGAAGAGATGCCCTCACTGTCAAGGACATGAAAGTCTTGCTGAAAACTGCGGAAAGTGCAGGAACACTAAGAAAATCCCTCTGGCACTCCAGGCCTCACATGAAGGACAAGATAAAGAATTCAACACTTCTCTCTAAGCAATCAATAGAAGCAGATAAAATTCATTAAGGATATACAAGACATGAACATACAATGAACTAACTTGATTTAACTGACACCTTTTTTTTTTTTTTGATACAGAGTGTTACTCTGTCACCCAGGTTGGAGTGCAGTGGCACAATCACGGCTCACTGCAGCCTCAACCTCCCAGGCTTAAGCAATCCTCCTACCTCTGCCTCCTGAGTGGCTAGGACTACGGGTGCATGCCACCACACCCAGGTAATTTTTTTATTTTTTGTAGAGACATGGTCTCCCTATGTTGTCCAGGTTGCTCTCAAACTCTTGGGCTCAATCAAGTGATCCTCCTGCTTCAACCACCCAGGATGCTGGGATTACAGGTGTGAGCCACCACACCCAGCATTAAATGACATCTATAAACTACTATACTCAACAACTGCACCATGCACATTCTTTCAAGTACATACTAAACACTCACCAAGACAGACTATATTCTGAGCCACTCAAAAAAAAAAAAAAAAAAAAGTCAAAGAAATTCAACAAACTTGAAATAACTGAAATTAATCTAATTATATTCTTAGATCTTAAGAGGCTTAAACAAGCAGTCAATAACAAAAAGACAGAAGGAAAATCCCCAAATGAATGGAATTTTTAAACATACTTCTAAATTACCTATGGTTCTCTTATAAACCCCACAATACATTTGTTATTTAGCTCTAAACTAAATCAATGATCTTACTCTTTAAATAAAGACAAGGCCCCAAGTGACATCCTTGGGGCAAAATTATAGGAAGATAAATTTCAGTTCAATTGAAATAAGAGTATCATAACAATCACAGCCATCTGAAGATGGAATGTCCTGTCTCTAGGGATAATAAATTTCCTATAGGTATGTACAAACATAGTTTGGGGGGGAAAAGATCAACCACGAGATGAGTCATTGAATTAAATGACTTTAACAGTTTGTTTCAAATGTTAAAGAGTCCATTGTCTTACCAAATATTCATCTATAAATCCTGGATTGCATTAAACTCATGCTATTCATCTTTAAAAGGTCAGGATACAATAATCCTTTTATTGATAAAATTATTTATCAGTAGGCTCTCAGCTCAGAAAGACATTTCTCTTATTTTACCATGTTTTATAAAATACATCGGCAGGGAACAGTGGCTCACGCCTGTAATCTCAGCACTTTAGGAAGCCAAGGTGGGCAGATCACTTGAGGTCAGGAGTTTGAGACCAGCCTGGTCAACATGGTGAAACCCCATCTCTACTAAAAAAATACAAAAATTAGCCAGGCATGGTGGCACATGCCTGTAATTCCAACTACTCAGGAGACTGAGGCACAAGAATCACTTGAACCCAGGAGGTGGAGGTTGCAGTGAGCCAAGATTGTGCCACTGCACTCCAACCTCAGTCAGTGACAGGGTGACACTCAGTTTCAAAAAAAAAAAATAAGAATATAGCCTTTTAAAATAAAATAAGTAAATAAAAGAAAAAAATATAGCCTTTACATGGTACTGATTAAACTGGTCAATTTTCACCTACAGATAATATACTAGAATAAAATTCTAGGTGACATACCATTTTTCTCACAAGAGTCATTCACAAGGGAACAAAAACCTGAGAATACAATGCAATTATATGTCTCTAAACCAGTATTTAATTTACTGTTTTTACGTTGAATGAATCTAGAGTGTTATTTAATTTCTTCATATACTTTACTAAAACCAAATTTCAGTTCATTTTTTTCTAACAGTTTTCACACAAAGAACAGACCTCTTTTCTATTACACATTTAAAGGTACAAACCAGAAACAACGCTCTCCTCACAGTTTCTGGTATTAAGTTGTGACAAGTGTCATATAGAAAACAAGCTTATATTCAGCAATGGCTTCTAATAAACAGAAAATTTAGACCATCATCATGACTTGAACAAAACACCTTCTCAGAAACTACATGAAAAGAACAAAGGAAAGAAAGGTTTAATTTGTAGAAAATAAACTAATATACAAAGCAGTTTTGTACTAGCTGAAGAAACTAGAAAGAAGAATTAAGGAAAAAACTATCATATATAAAACAAAATTTTTTAAAAAGCAGAAGGTAAGAAACAGCCACACTGCAACAGAGTGCTAATAAAATATGGAATTAAAAGCTCATTACTGATTGGTAATGATCAATCCATTTTGCAAAGAAAAGATTACTGAAACTAATAATTTTATCATCACCTATGGAAAGCACATCAGTAAATAATTTAGCTTTAAAATTATACATAGATGTGTTCATGAATATCATGAATAAAAATACAAAGATATATAAAATTTTAAAAATACAAAATAAAGTTATACATAGAGCTACATAAGCTAAATGATTAGCATAGTAACTAGTCATAAAGTAAGCACTTACAAATATTTTCTACTATTAGTAAAAATAGTATTAATCACAACACTGAGTGCTCACTAAAAAAGGATTATAAGACACTCTGTACAAGTCCAACTAATTGGAAGTTTTGTGCCTACCAAACAGCATCCCTGCAAAAGGACTACAAGCATCTTGATTAGCAGATTTGGATGGTTCATTGTCTGAAGCACTAAAGAAAAAAAGACAGAGAAACAGAGTAAGTTAAAATCCAGATAATTTACAGGAAGCAAAATTTTAGAGTAAAATGTAGATATGAGTTATTAGCCTTTCAAAGTACTATGGACATTATAATATTTACAAATTTTTAAGGTTAAGGTAAAATCATGGCATTCTATCTCTTTATACAGTGCAACTCCAATGTATTCAGGCCTAAAAAAAAAAAAATTTTGGCCAGGCATGGTGGCTCACACCTGCAATTCCAGCACTTTGGGAAGCCTACATGGGTGGATTGCCTGAGGTCAGGAGTTGGAAATCCGCCTGGCCAACATGGTGAAACCCCGTCTCTAATAAAAATACAAAAAAATTAGCTAGGTGTGGTGGCAGAAGCCTGTAATCCCAGCTACTCAGGAGGCTGAGGCAGGAGAATCAACTGAAACCAGGAAGTGGAGGTTGCAATGAGCCGAGATAGCATCACTGTGCTCCAGCCTGGGCAACAAGAGTAAGACACATCTCAAAAACAAAAACAAAAATGTTCAGCTTGCTTCACTGGCTATATAAGTTCTCAAATAAAATCTTTTTCAGGCTGGGTGTGGTGGCTAACACCTGTATTACAGCACCTTGGGAGGCCAAGGTGGGCAGATCGCTTGAGGTCAGGAACTTGAGACCAGCCTGGCTAACATGGTAAAACCTCATCTCTACTAAAAATACAGAAATTAGCTGGGCATGGTGGCATGCGCCTATAATCCCAGCTACTTGGGAGGCAGAGGCAGAAGAATCACTTGAACCCGGGAAGCAGAGGGTACAGTGAGCCAAGATCACACCACTGTACACTGGGTGACAGTACGAGACTCTGTCTCAAAAAAAAAAAAAAAAAAAAATCCTTTTCATAAAAAAAGTTACCCCAGTTAAAAAAAAAAAAAAAAAGGAATATAAGTGCACATAAGACCGGGTGCAGTAGCTCACGCCTGTAATCCCAGCACTTTGGTAGGCCAAGGCGGGCGAATTACCTGAGGTCAGGAGTTCGAGACCAGCCTGGCTAACATGGTGAAATTCCATCACTACTAAAAATACAAAAAAATTAGCCAGGCGTGGTGACGAGCGCCTCTAATCCCAGCTACTCAGGAGGCCGAGGCAGGAGAATCACTTGAATCAAGAAGGCAGAGAGCCAAGATCGTGCCACTGCACTCCAGTCTGGGCGACAGAGTGAGACTCCATCTCAAAAAAGAATAAAAAGAAAAAGAAAAAAGAAAAGTGCACATAAATTTAAAAAAAAAGAAGAGAAAGAATGACCTATGCACACACTTAGAAAAGATCATCCCTAAAAACACTCCTTCCTGGCCATGCACAGTGGCTCATGCCTGTAAGATCCCACCATGAGTTTGGGAGTTCAAGACCAGCCTGGACAATGAAGATCCTGTCTCTAAATTAAAAAAAGAAAATTTTAAAAAAATTTTTTTAAAAAAAACTAGGCAGGCATAGTGGCACATGCCTGTAGTCCCAACTACTCCAGAGGCTGTGGTGGGAGGGTCACTTGAGCCTGGAAAGTCAAGGTTTCAGTGAGCTATATCATGTCACTGCACTCCAGCATGGACAACAAAGCTATCTCAAGAAAAACAAAAACAAAAACAAAAAACCTCCTTTCTTGGAAGACTGAAACAAGGGGAAAAAAATCCTCAAAGGAAACTTAATTAATTAGAACGAAACAGCAAATTATCTTCTTGCAAGCAGTGTTTATATATTATTTTTCTTAGAAAAAATAGGCATCTTTCTTGACATATGACATCATATTCACTGTATACTATAGATTCAAAACCATTTATCCTTATGTACAATACCGGAATGCCACCAAAATGATAAAAAACTGTAAGTAGAAAGAGAACATAAAGATAAAATACATATAATTTCCTTTCAACACGACAGAAATATATACGAGCACTAATTTTACAAAGTTAAGCATAAAAGCTATCTACTTGATAAACTGAAAATCAAAAATAAACTTTTGAAAGAAAAATTCACACCACAGGAACATTCCCAATTTTTTTTTTTTGAGATGAGTCTCACTCTGTTACCCAGGCTGGAATGCAGTAGCACTATCTCAGCTTATCACAACCTCTGCCTCCGGGGTTCAAGTTATTCTCCTGCCTCAGCCTCCTGAGTAGCTGGGATTACAGGGATTATTACCAGGGATTACAGGGATTACCATGCCTGGCTAATTTCTTTTTTTTTTTTTTTTTTTTTTTTTTGTATTTTCAGTAGAGAGGGTTTCACCATGTTGGCCAGGCCAGGCTGGTCTTGAACTCCTGACCTCAAGTGATCCGCCTGCATCGGCCTCCCAAAATGCTGGGATTACAGGCATGAGCCACCGGGCCCAGCCACACTTTCAATTTATTTCCAGTCAAGTTGCATCACCATGACTCTAAGATATTTTAAGTTTTTAGTCCATTAAATTATACTTATTTCTTTTATTATTTCAAACAAATTTACATACTTCGTAATGATAGGGACATCTTCAGAACACCCTGGCACACTTTATAACCAAAAACTTGTTCTTTAAAAGAATGCTGTAAAGTACTATCAATTTTCATTTAGTACTACCTCCTCATCCTTTCTTTTCCTTTAATTCACTTCTAAGAAGAAAGGCTGTTAATTTACTACACCTTTCTACTTTTTCAGTTAGCCAGTTTAAGGCACATTCTGTTTCACAATGTAATAACTAAAGGGGATAATTTGTATTACATACTGTACCTTTTATTTTCAGCAGATGAAATTCTTATGTTTGACTGTTCTATAACATCCCCATCATGTTCCATAGGAGGCACATTCCCTCGTCTATTCCTGTGCATCCTTAAAAACATATTAGCTTATAAAGAATGTTCCACATACAGACCTTCTTATAACACTTTGGTGGTTTTACATTTGATGTTGGCAACATTAAAGGGAACAAAGTGTTATAATGAAGTTTTACCATAAACACATTCTAAAATTAAATAGAATTTGTATGATCTGCTGGTTAATGAGACACTAAGAGTTTAAATGTAATAATCTTTTCTAAAAAGATTATAAATTATTTTAATGTACTTTCTGTAAGTTTTGATTTTTAAAACTACAAATATACTAACACTTTTTTATCATTCTATTTAAAAGTGAACTGAACACCTACTGGGTATTCGGACACAGTCCCTACACTCACAAAGATTATAGTCAAAATTCAAAATGAGAACATTTTTTAAATCAAAATTCATAGAGTCTGTGAATTATTTCATTGTATATATAACCTTCTTTTTTTTTTTCTGAGACGGAGTCTTGCTGTGTCGCCAGGCTGGAATGCAGTGGCGTGATCTCAGTTCACTGCAACCTCTGCCTCCCGGGTTCAAGTAATTCCCCTGCCTCAGCCTCCCAAGTAGCTGGGACTATAGGCGCGCACCACCACACCTGGCTAATTTTTTGTATTTTAGTAGAGACGGGGTTTCACCCTGTTGGCCAGGATACTCTCGACCTCCTAATCTTGTGATCTCCCGCCTCGGCCTCCCAAAGTGCTGGGATTACAGGCATGAGTCACCGCGCCCTGTCATAACCTTTTTAACTTAAAAATACAGCAGCAGTCTGTAAATTAAATCAAATGTAACAAACCATGACATTTGCTAACACTGTAAATCACAGGAAAGAATAAATGTCACTGATAGGCGAATGGAAAACATTAACAGGGAAAATGATTAGCTAACTTTACTTACGAGGTCATAAACAACAAAAAGAAAGATTAGCATGTTTTCTATTTTCTTCTTTAAAAACCTTTTTGGAAAATAATAATGAATAAATGTTTTTCAATCGATCTTTTTTCCATTTGGCAAACACTGATTTTATTTTTAGCTTAATTTATCATACCATAGAAACCAACATGACTTTTTATACCAATACTTATCGGCGTTCATGAAAATCAGCATTTCATAATCACTTCAAAGTTTCTTTACGTGGCTGTTGAGTTACCCAACTATACTGTCTTTCTCAAGAGGACTATTACAAAGAAATATGGTTGTTAAAGTGGTATTCAGTATTTTAGGTGAATTTCATTATCAGATTAAGAAAAATGGCAATTTTCCGGAAAAAAAAAAAAGAAACTTCTCACTCTCCACAGAACCAGCATATAAAACTCTTTCTTCACTTGTTTCCATCATACAAGCTACTGTCAATATCATCTGTGGAAAAAACACTATTTGGAATTTTAATCTTAGTAACTATCACATGGCATAACGCATGAATGGCTTCCATTTTTTAATCGATCACACATCATACACACACATTCATCACACACACACATTCTGATGTGTGAATGACAGACACATCAGCTTAGTGTCATTCCCTACTTACACCACTTAACAAACAGGTAAATACAAACTCAAATTCAAATTTGTAATTAACACTGCCAGGCAACCAGATTTAGTTATACTGGATCTTTATATATAATGCCGAAAAATGTTAACAGAGCAGGCCTGAGACTGCCTGTCCTCAGAAAAGCCTGACTATGTAGTTGACCCTTGGCTGGCACCTGGGAATACAGATTTTGGGAGAGTTACAACCACTGGCAGAACTGATAAGAGCAGCTCACTGTGCTTAAACTGCACAAACTATCGTTTATGCTAAACACTTGCTTTTCTTCAGGAAGTCTGGAATTTTGGTACATGCCAGGTACAGGATGCCAATGTAACCATCCCACAATAAAAACCTTGGGCACCGAGTGTCTAATCGCTTTCCTGGTAGACATTTCCTTATATTGTTACAATTCAATGCTGGAGGTAGTAAGCATCTCCTGTGTGATACCACTGGGAGAGAACCCTTGGAAGCTTGTGCCTGGTTTCCTTCAAACTTTGTTCCATGTGCCTTTTACCTTTGCTGATTTTGCTTTGTATCATTTTGCTGTAATAAATTATAACTGTGAGTACAACTATACCCAAAGTCCTTATGGATCCTCCTAGCAAATCACCCAACCTAGAGGTTTTCTTGAGAACCCACGACGCAACACAAAAAGCAAATTCACTGGTGTAGTAAAGAGGTATCTATGCCAAAAAAAAATTATATATAAAAATAATTTATTTATTTATATACATTCTTTAATAATAAATCTTTATTTAAAAAATCTTTAACAGAGGCCAGGCATGGCGGCTCATACCTGTAGTCCCAGCTACTTGGGAGGCTAAAGTGGGAAGACTGCTTGAGCCTGGAAGGCAGAGGTTGCAGTGACCCAAGACTGTACCACTGCACTCCAGCCTGAGCAACAGAGTAAGACCCTGTCTCAAAAAGAAAAAAAAAAATTAAATAGAAATGTAAAGTTACAAATTCTTAAAAGCATAACTTGGGGTCCCAGAATTAAAGGTCACTGAGATATACAAAAGCTTTTTCTAAAATTAACACAGGGCTTGTGGCTTCCTTCATTACTAGTTAAGTTTTCTGAAGATAATATTTAGATTAATAATTCTAGCTTATCTTTACACCACCACTGCACCTAAGGTATCCACACTAAAAAATCTTTTACAGGCTCTTCAGTGTAAACAGATAGTAAAGCAAATGCCATAAACACAAGAGGTCATTTTCCAAGTTCATCCTAAATTAATTTAAGAAATGATTTTATTTATGTATAAGGTTAAGGTCTGTTTGCTAAAATCTACAGCAAAATCAAAAGATTTCCTACTGAACAGCACATATGAAAAGATATTCTAAGGTATACCCTTCACTGAAGAAAAAAAAATCATTTACAAGATTATAAAAGTCCACTTTGTTACCAACAATTATAATAAGATCGAGACTGAAAAATGTGTAAGAGACTAAAAAAGAGCAGAAATAAGCATTTCACTAAAAAGACAAAATCCTAGGGATACTATTCAATTTTATGAAATGACACATGATTTGTTTATCTTTTTTAAGTCAAGGAAGAATTACTGTTTACAAATATAGATTTTATAATTTTTTTTTTTAATTACCAATATAAGACCTAAAAAAAAAGAAACCTTCAAGGGAAATTAAGCTGAAAAGCCAAACTATAGTTTGGAAAGTTAGCCACCTCTATTAAAATATTCTCTATTAAAATATCCCTACAATTTTTATGGCATTTCCTTCATTTACTAAAAGTGCCCTTTATATTTCTAATAAATTTAGCATTTAATTACCCTGAACTACCTCTGCTAGTTCACTTAAACAGCTTTTATGGTCTCACAATTTATTGTTGTAACCTTTTCTGAACAAAAAAAGTCCTCTCTGAAGAAAGCAACTAGTATGAATCAGCAGTGGTTTTGCAATGGTTACCTCTTTATTCAATCATCTCAACATTAAAGGGAAACAGACAGACAATAATATCCAAAAGTAATGCACTCACCTAATGTCTAAGAACCATCTGATTCTAACCAAAGTTCAGGGGTTCCGTTTAGGTTCAGTTTGTCCCTGGAAGCCCTTTCTGTTTCACTGTGAGAGTACCAGATTAAGACTATCCTTGTGACCCAGAAGTAATCTATCTGAATACTCTCCCATCAAATTACTAACCGGGTCCAAGCCTACTTAGTTTCCAATATCAAACAAGATTAGGCACGTTCCAGGGTGGTATAGCCATAGAAAATCTATCTAAATATTCTATGGCTTTTAATATATAGGTTCACTTATCACACCTTAATATATTGGGTTTTGTCAGAAACGGACAGAACTCATAACTTTGAAATGCAAATCAGATATGATTGAGGGAATAAAATAACTGCAAAATGATTTCACCATCCTACTAACTAAAAAAAAAACAAAAAAAACAAAAAAAAACACAGTATTTTAAATGAAAAAAATATTTCTCTCCCTATTTCCTTGAAGACATGAGTCAACAACTCTAGGTGATCAGGTAAAAATCTTAATACCCAAAGAAACCAGGTATAGGGTACAGGCCAACTTTATCCTAAAAATGAACACATGTTAATCTTTAAAAAAAAAAAAAAAAATAGAAGCTAAAGAAAAACTCTGAGATGTTAACTGTGGACAACCAGTTTTCTCTTTGTTTTCAATTCTTTCCCAATTTTTATATTTACTTTGGTAGCACTGTTTTCTATTACCAATCCCATCTACCCTGTACCTGGTTTCTTTGGGTATTAAGAAGTAAAACTTCTTTTACTCATTAACATTGGTTAAAGTAAAACATAATAAACTAAAATATTAACTTCTGCAATTCAAGTTAATAAATAAGACTAGGATTACTATATTTAAATAGAGCCTATAAATGTCAAAGTATCTTAGGACATGCTATTACATTCTACTTTAGAAAGCTCCTAAAATATGATAAATTTTACTTAAATTGGTAAATATGAATAAATAAACAACACATATACACACACAATGCAACTGTCAATTACAGTGTTAACCACCTTGTTAATTATTTAAGAACACTGTCAGTGATTCATGATACAAATTTAGGAAGGTAACATCATTTTCTGAGAAAAGTTTTAGCTTTCCCGTATTTATTTAATTATTTTGTTTGTTTGTTTGTTTCTGAGACGGAGTCTCGCTCTGTTGCCCAGGCTGGAGTGCAGTGGCCGGATCTCAGCTTACTGCAAGCTCCGCCTCCCGGGTTCACGCCATTCTCCTGCCTCAGCCTCCCAAGTAGTTGGGACTATAGGCGCCCGCCACCTTGCCCGGCTAGTTTTTTGTATTTTTTTAGTAGAGACAGAGTTTCACCGTATTAGCCAGGATGGTCTCGATCTCCTGACCTCGTGATCCGCCCGTCTCGGCCTCCCAAAGTGCTGGGATTACGGGCTTGAGCCACCGCACCCAGCTAGCTTTCCCATATTTAAGTATGGGGAAATATTTCATTAATAATTACGGTATATGAAAAAAGTAAATGTTTATAGGGTAGAGAAAAATTGAAACCAAAAATAAAAAATTATTATAAACCAAAACTAGAATTGACCAGATGCTGACTTTTAGGAAAGGAAAAAAAAAAAAAAAAGAACAAAGAAAACTTAGAAGAATTAAGGAAAATTAACTGTGCACTTCTCATGATACATTATAATTAGTTTTTGTCAAGAACTTCTGATCAAGATTGCACAGTATGTTAAGAATAAATGCTTGGAGCAAGAGATGAAACTCAGTTCCACATTTCTTTAGTCTCAAGCTTTTCACAAATACAGTCATTTCTCCTATCAACCAGTTGATTTATAAACTACTGAATGACTGAAATCCTTTTTTTTTTTTTTTTTGGTGGAAATAAGGAATCTACAAATCTGAAATAAATCCAATTTTAAATTCAATTGTTAAAGAGACACATAAGAAAAAACACTTGGAGATGTCAAAGTTGATATAATAACAAAATAAAAATACATAAAATATGATTTATATATTGAAGAAACACTTTAGTATTTAACAAGAATTATTCTCACTCAACCTCATGTTTAATCTATTCTTAAATAGTATTTGGGAAAGTTTATATAGAAGGAATTTATTTTATTTATGGGATACATAAGAAGATATGATAGTTCTCAAATAGAATGATATTCATTTGTCAGTTCATGTATAAAATTATCACAAGGTATAATTATAAAAGTAATAAATTAAAATATATAAAAAACAAAGAAGCTACCATTATAATATGTTTCTTAAAATTCCAAACTTAAAAAGGTATGCATTACATTCATCCTAAAGGTAAACAAATATCATAAAGGGAAAGGAAGTTCTCATGTACAAAGGAGACATCATCACCAAGAATTGAAGAGTACTTGCAGTTCCCCAATTGAGTTATTTTAGTTTAGTCAGCCTTTAACTACCTTCATATATAAGCATTTTCAAATATAACATTATAGGATTTGGAGAATTTTCTAAGTATAAACAATTAGATTCAGATTAGAGAAACTATAATTGCCATTTCCAAATTTTAATCAATCAAATTACCTAAATCAGGTAAATATTAAAAGTATTGTGTGAGGACATAACAGCTACAGAATGTAGAAGACAAAGAACTGTAAAAGCTTTGTATCATAATTAATAGTTAGAATACTAAATGTACAGCATTACCCCTGAAAATTTTTTCTAAAATACTTAAAAACTAATCTATTTGGACTAGTAAATAAAGCAGGTCCCAAAAGCTGCTCAAAATGTATTAACACTTGTCAAGTAAACAAGTCAATGACAAATATGAGACCGTATGGTATTCATTCGTAACTCCAAGTTAGGTTAAACTATGGCAAGTATCAATGTATGATAAATACAACAATAAACCCTCATTGTGGCAGTTAAGAAATTATAAATACTGTCACAAAAACATTCAAAGGAACTGAAAACCATCTGAAAATCTGATTGAAAAAACTTATGACTACAGGAATAAACTGTATTTCATCTATTTTAAGGTATCCTTTTTTCACACGTTTTATTTTATTTATTTATTTTTGTTATTGCTGTTGAGACACAGTCTTACTCTGTGGCCCAGGCTGGAGTGCAGTGGCGTGATCTCCGCTCACTGCAACCTCAGCCTCCCGGGTTCAAGCGATTCTCCTGCCCAGCCTTCTGAGTAGCTGCATGCACCTTACAGGCATGCGCCTCCATGCCTGGCTAATTTTTGTATTTTCAGTAGAGATGGGGTTTCACCACGTTGGTCAGGTTGGTCTCCACCTCCTTACCTTGTGATCTGCCCGCCTCGGCCTCCCAGAGTGCTGGGATTACAGGCATGAGCCACCAGACCCGGCCACATTTTAATATATGAAGTCAGAATAGCCAATGACCTGGTTTTATGTCAAGTTATTGCAGACAGTTATTTTTCCCCTCATCCAAGAGCACTATGAATTGAGAAAACTCTGAATTCTGGCCTCAAGGTTTCTTTGGACACTACTGGCAGTATGAATTTGGACTGTGAACTTGAATCAGTACCAATTTACACTTCAAATTCTCAGGGAAGGCTGTTTGTATCTTTACTCTGCACTCACTGACAAGGTTGGGACGTGGGCGTTCCCTCTCTGTCCCTTTCTGTGGGGACAATTCACATACTTTTACATAATGGGTGTAGCCTTTCAGTTTTCCAACTTTATAACACGGCCACCACCTTGAGTGTTTTCTTTTTCCCCTCAGTGGGACGTAAAATAATGATGCATCTTAAAACTGACAGCAACTTAGAATTAATTATGATAAAACTGCTTCTCCCTACTATAATGATAAAAAGTAACAGCAGCAAATATTAACAATTAATTTGCTATATTAAGCAAATAAAGAAAATAAAAATGAAGTTGTAAATACCTGTCATTTGTATACACTCTCAAAAGTCTTCTATCAAAATCACTTTCATATCTAAACCTCTCATCCATTTCTTCACTTACTTCAGGATCTTGGTCTGGTCTATGATACCGTCTATCAAAAACACGATCCTCATTAAATTTGTGAAATCTTCTATCTGGCATGCCAGCCTTGCTTGCAAACCTCTGATGTTTTAGGTTGGAAATGCCTACTTCTTCATTTGCTTTTTTAATAATTCTTCTATTCCTTACTTCGAGTTCATCATCTAGTCGTCTTTGGTTCAGAAGTTCTTCGTATGCCTCTGAAGGAGTTAAGACATCTTTTCTAGGACCCTCTGAATTTTTGCAAGATGTCTGTTTTGGTGAAGTTAAATCAGGCTTAACTTGACCAATAGGTTTTTTATTTCTTTGACTCTTGGGCTGTTCAATTAAAAAAGAAAAAAGAAAACTTGATGAGAAATTATCTCTCATAAGGTAATTAAACCCTCAATTTATACTTAGTCTATCATTTTAACTCTGATGTTTGTTTAATCACGCATATATATATATATATGTTTTTACATGAATGTTCATATGAGCTTTACTTGTAATAGCAAAAGCCAGAAATAACTCAAATGTCCATCAACAGGGGAATGGATAAACAAGCTGATACAGCCATGCAATGGAACATTACTATGCAACAAAACTGAATGAATTATCCATACATTCAACAACACAAATGAACCTCAAAATAATCATACCGAGTGAAAGAAGCCACACCCCCAAAACTAGTATATCCTGTATGATCCATTTATATTAAATGATCAAATGTAAAGTAGTCTAGGGTGATAGAAGTCAGGTCAGGAAGATCTGGAGACAGTGTGGGAATGAGTGGAGGACAGTGAGGACACACAGATTCCAAAAGGTCCCAGAACCACTTTGGGGGATATGGGATAGGCTCGTTATCTTGATTGTGGTTTACATATTCTAAAACCCATCAAATTGTACACTTTATGAAAAGTTTATTAAATAAAAATTCTAGGTGGAGGCCAGTGGATTGCTTGAGCCTGGGAGTTCAAGACCAGCCTAGGCAACATTAAGCGCCCATATATTTTTTTTAGAAAAAAAAACTTGAAGAAAATTTTACCTTTCTGTGGCAGGGCACGGAGGCTCACGCCTATGATCCCAGCACTTTGGGAGGCCAAGGTGGGTGGATCACGAGGTCAGGAGTTCAAGACCAGCCTGACCAACATGCTGAAACCCCATCTCTACTAAAAATACAAAAATTAGCCAGTCATGGTGGCAGGCACCTGTAATCCCAGTTACTCCGGAGGCTGAGGCAGGAGAATCACCTGAAGCCAGGAAGCGGAGGTTGCCGTGAGCTGAGATTGTGCCACTGCACTCCAGCCTAGGTGACAGAGCAAGACTCCATCTCAAAAAAAAAAAAAAAAGAAAGAAAAGAAAGGAGAGGATAAACTAAATGCAAATTCCTATCCTAGGAGATATTACTTCAAAATATTTCAAATTAAATTCTCAACACAAAGGATACAGAAAGTGGTAAATGTTTTGAATGGTTTGGCCCCAGATACATCAATCATCCTTCTTTTTTTTTTTCCAGACCAGGTTTCGCTCTGTCACCCAGGCTGGAGCACAGTGACGCAATCTTGACTCACTGCAACCTCTGTCTACCAGGTTCAAGCAATTGTCCTGCCTCAGCCTCCCAAGTAGTTGGGATTACAGGCACCTGCCACCAAGTCCGGCTAATTGATCCTTAAATTTTGAAAAAAAAAAAAGTACATATATATATAGCTAGGAATTGTCAACATAAAAACTCATTTAAATTTTTAAAAATAAATGAAAATCACTTAACAAAACTGATCTCTAAAATTAAATCTCCCTAATTAAATGTTAAAAGTTCTTCAATATGAGATAAAACAACTTTCAAAACTAAACATTTAAATGTCCTGTGTTTGGTTTAATTTGGCTTAATTTTGCAAGTATTTACAAAAAAAAAAAAAAGTAAAATGTCTAAAATAGAAAAACCTTTTCAAGTACAAAATATTCAACATGTGGTAGCATAGATTTACTTCAAAAGCAAAACCTACCTCAGTACTCTTTTCCACCTGCCTGAACTTTTCACTGGATTCTTCCTTACCCCTGAGAAACTGATTGTATTCCTTGTTACGTTCAAGTTTCAACCTTTCCTTAAAATAAAAATCAAAAGGCAGTGTTAACTTCAACTTCAGGAAAAAAAATACCTCAATGTCATATCGGAATGTCAAATCTGAATCATACAAATCAGAACTCTTACCCAGAATCAAGCTTTACTAATAATTTCAAGGACAAATGTCACTGAAAGGTATGGGAGAAGTCGGAAGAGGTTTGAGGACACCCATACAGCTCCCCAGGTCTTTCTCGTCACGTAAGAATATGCACGACTACATGCTTTGGTCCATTAACACATGAGGTCTCTAATAGAAGGGAGTTGCTTCGTTCATGAAACATCTCCATTTTACACTCCAATAGTTAACAGAGCTTAGATGACATTTTCCAAAGAGCCATGCCACATAAATCCATAGATTGCAGGTTTGATTCCCAACAGCAATCCTAGACAAACCAGGTGTATTCTGCCAAAAGCATTCAGAGATAAATCTCTCCCACTAGTAAATATGATGATTGTGTTTGCCAAGAGAACTGTCATTAGCATGTTTCCAAAGAGATATGATGGGGTTACCTTCCTTCTTTCCTTCTCAAAGACACCTCCCTCTCCTAATGCCCCAACCCACTCCCTGAAGCACCTGCAGCTAACCATTTCCTTTCCAAGGTTAAAAAGGATCCTTTATATTTTAAACTTAAAAAGGCAAAATTATCATAGATTATAAAATATTATAATGAAATGTTCTGTTAAAGCACAAATATGTAAGATTAGAAAATGTTCTTAAATTTTAACATTTCCCGTGTCACTAAAACAACACAATCTAAAAAAGTATTAAAGAAACTAGGTCAGCCGGGTGCGGTGGCTCACGCCTGTAACATCAGTACTTTGGGAGGCTGAGGCAGGTGGATCACGAGGTCAGGAGTTCAAGACCAGTCTGGCCAACATTGTGAAACCCCACCTCTACTAAAAATACAAAAAATTAGCCAGGCGTGGTGGCAGGCGCCTGTAATCCTGCCTCCAGCTACTCAGGAGGCTGAGGCAGGAGAATCACTTAAACTGGGGAGGCGGAGGTTGCAGTGAGCCAAGACCGTGCCACTGCACTCCAGCCTGGGCGACAGGGTGATACTTTGTCTCAAAAAAAAAAAAAAAAAAGAAACTAGGTCTGTCTTTTGAAATTTATTAACTGTCAATTTTGTCTTATATACTATTTCATGATCTCTGATATACTCTGGTGAGACTGAGTCACTACGAGAGGTGTACAGTGCTTTATCACTTTCACCACGAAGGAACATGCACGTGTATTAATGGAGCGACAGAATCACACATTCAAAGAACCCTTACCCTCACCCGACATAAAAGCTCACTATAATTTCACATCCACTCATTCCAATAACTGTGTTACATAGCATAAACTTTACAGTCAGAAACCCATGGTGAAAAAAATGAATTCTGAATATTCAGTTAAGTATAACTGAATACAGCAACAGAATCAACATATTAAAGAAATATATAATTATATGGTTACAAATGTGTTCAAGAAAATTTTTTTAAACAGCATAAACAAGACTCCATGGATTTTTGAAAAAGAAATAAATTCAAGTATGGAGAAATGATAAGATCTTCCATTTGCATTTAAATCAGCAGTATGTTCTTTTATGATTTTGATGCCTGGGAAAACTGCTACCCACAATAACGACTCCTATCCACCTACCTTAGCAGATAACCTCTCACCAATAGGAAGAGAAACTCCCAAAGTTGATGGATCTGTTTCACTCGTAGATAGAAAATTTGTCTGTATATATACACATTAAAAAAATATATTACCTAATTGCCTTTATAAAATATGTTGCATAAATGTGTCTTTGCATTCTATATTCTAAACTAGTATTACATTATGCAGAGCAAACGAATGAAATGGAATGAAGACAGAAACTACAAATCTATATAGACCATACCAAAAGCATTTGGAAAAAAGATAATTTTCTTCCAATCAACAACTTCCTGAAAGGGAAAATCAGGCCTTAATTTTCATTTGCAATATATATATATGTCTATTGATTCAAGATGATTAGAAGCATGAAGAAAAACTTTCCCAATTTATATTCGTCTTCTAAGCACATACTCTTCATTATCAGTGCTCTACTGTCTTTTTGTTCTCAAGGCAAATTTAAACTTCCTCACAAATACCTTAATGTATGCCACAACAGTTTTTTTCTATTTTTCCTATAATTATGTGAGTGAATATCTACTGAAATGCCAATAGATATAAACTATGAATGTTGTTTATGTGTTCGTCCAATCTTGTTCATTAAGCATTTAAGTAACGCAGTGTAGTAGAGGCAGCATTAGACTAGCAGTCAAAAGACCTAGGATCTACGACTAGCCCAAGCACTTATTAGTTGTGTAACACTGAGGAAGTCACTTAATTTCTCTGACAGACACTTTCTTCTGTAAAATGAGAATAGTACCTGCTCTGCCTACCTACCAAAGCTGGTATAAGGATGAAGGAGGATAAAAAATATAAAATCCCTTTGAAAGCTGTAAAGCAAATACAAAGGACTGGTTAAAAAAAAAAAATACACATGATCCCCAACTGGTAAAAAAAAATACATATGCTCTCCAACTTTCTGGTACTGTTACTTAGTAGTCAAATAATTTGGAATAATGTACTTCACTTCACTTCAGTTTCCTTGTCTGTAAAACAGAAATAATGTCATCTACACATCACTAGGTTATAAGGATTAAATCAATCAATAATTGTCAATCTGTCTAATTCCATGTCTTTTACTTATTCACTAAACAAGCAATTAGCAACCATCTAATACTATGCAGGTACTATTTTCAGGTGGTAGGGATACAAATATATTTTCCCTATATTCAAGGGATTTACAATTCAGTTGCAGAAACAGATATGTAAGCAAATAACCACAAAACAGTGTATTAACTACTACAATAGCGTTGTATTCAAAACATTATGGAAAGAGAGTAATTAGCAAAACTCAGTGATTAATAAAGTTTCATTAAATCTGGCCAGGCAGGGTGGATCATGCCTGTAATCCTAGCAGGTTGGGAGGTCGAGGCAGGTGGATCACTTGAGCTCAGGAGTTCAGACCAGCCTGGGCAACAGGGCGAAACCCCGTCTCTACTAAAAACACAAAAAATTAGCCGGGCTTGGGGCCGCGTGCCTGTAGTCCCAGCTACTTGGGAGGCTGAGGCAGGAGAATCCCCTGAACCTGAGAAGTGGAGGTTTCAGTGAGCCAAGATCAGCACCACTGCACTCTAACCTGGGTGATAGAGTGAGACTCTGTCTCAAAAATAAATAAAGTGTCATTAAATCTGAATTTACAAATGAGTTGTTCTACAAAAGCTAATTTGAAAGTTGGCTGTATGGAACTCTAAACTTATCTGACAAAGAAAAAATAAGACACATGACCAGATCCCTGAGTGATTTTACCTCCTATATACTGAAGTACATTATAAACCTAATTATTTTGTAGAGTTATAAATGCATGAAAAACCCATTCACAGTTCCAACCAGGAAGATAGATTTAACATCCTCACTCCTTCATTGGGCAATTTCCCATTCCAAACATGGGTCAAGAATGATGTTCGAAATTTTCAATAAAATGAAAAGAATAAACAATAACAACAACATAGGCTGGGAGTGGTGGCTCACGTCTGTAATCCCAGCACTTTGGGAGGCCAAGGCAGAAGGGACACTTGAGCCCAAGAGTTCGAGATCAGTTTGGGTATTTAAAAAAAAAAAAAAAAAAAAAGCTTTTTTTTTTATTATTACACTGTCTCTATCAAAAAAAATTTTTTTAATTCTTAAAAAAAGAACAACATAGTGAGTTTTTTCAAAAAGCTAAATTTTAATCATTCATTCATTCACTCATTCATTCAATAAATACTGAGTGCCTACCATGTGCCCAAACTCTCTGATACATTTGGGACTGAAAAAAACAAATAAAGATTCCTGCCCTCCAAAAGCATACATTCAAGCTGGGGAAAATGAAAAAGAAATAATAACATAATGAAGAGTAATTATACAGCATGCTAGAAGGTAATAATTACTGTGACAAAAAGGAAATTAAAAGGACAGGCTACAGATAGTGCAGGTTTATCAGGCATGAGGGTGGGAAGAACAAAAATCAAGAATTCTCTTTTGGACATGGTCTACATAAGATAATAGGTAGATTTCAAAGTGAAAATGTGAATTATGCAGCCGGCTAGAAAAGTCTGAAGTTCAGGATGGAGGTCTGGGCTGGAGATATTAATTAACTGACTCAATTTAAAAACTATTCCCGTGAGAACATGTCTTTTCTGTGTTTAGACGGTCAAGCATCTTTTATCCTAAAAACAGGAAATCATCTCTGGGCAGGAAGGGCTCAGGAAAAAAAAATTAATTAAAACAGGAAAAAAGATGGTAGTTGTTTGTTTTAATAACTCTTCTTGGCAAAATTAAAAGATTTGATTTGATTTTCTTTTTTTAACTCAAATATCCATGCAATCCAAGTCTGAAAGCCACAAGAGATATGAGTGGGACTTGGAAACCATACATATTTCAGGGGTTCCAGGAAGCTGCAGCCAGCTCCCTATATTCTGTGTAGTTTTATTTTTCTCTTGCTTTCCCTTCCATTCCCACCTTCTCAAATGTGAACAAGACTCTCTCTAATTTTAAGGAAATACTGCTCCTCTACAAGACTATATTCTTTTTTCTTTTTTTTTTTTTTTGAGATAGAGTCTCACTCTGTCGCCCAGGCTGGAGTGCGGTGGCCTGATCTCGGCTCACTGCAAGCTCCGCCTCCGGGGTTCACGCCATTCTCCTGCCTCAGCCTCCCGAGTAAGTGGGACTACAGGCACCTGCCACCACTACAGGCGCCTGCCACCACGCCAGGCTAATTTTTTTGTATTTTTAGTAGAGATGGGATTTCACCGTGTTAGCCAGGATGGTCTCGATCTCCTGACCTCGTGATCCGCCCACCTCTGCCTCCCAAAGTGTTCGGATTACACGCGTGAGCCACCATGCCTGGCCGACTATATTCTTAATAATCTAAAAAACTGGCCAGGTGCGGTGGCTCATGCCTGTAATCCTAGCACTTTAGGAGGCTGAAATGGGCAGATCACAAGGTCAGGAGTTTGAAAACCAGACTCGCCAATAAGGTGAAACCCCAGCTCTACTAAAAACACAAAAAAATTAGCCGGGCGTGGTGGTGGCCGCCTGTAGTCCCAGCTACTCGGGAAGCTGAGGCAGAAGAATCGCTTGAACTCAGGAGGTGGAGATTGCAGTGAGCCAAGATCGTACCACTGCACTCCAGCCTGGGCGACAGAGCAAGATTGTCTCAGGAAAAAAAAAAAAAAACACACACACACACAAACAAATAAAAAAATCTAAAAAAAACTCCTTCATATCCCTTTGAATTTAAAGATTTCTACTTTCATGAAGGCAATTTCTTCTTATGTCCCCCACCACTATCTTTTTAAAAAACCTTACCTAGGGAGTAATGCAAAACCTACAAGAGAAAATAGTAGATATCTGATACCAGAAGAAAACTCCACCTAAGAAGAAGAGGTAGCGAAGGGGAAGATAATGAGGTATAAGCCCAGGGAGTCAGGCTGGAACATGAAAGACATGTGCCATGCTAAGGAATTTGAATTTTTATCCTGGAGTGAAAATTAGCACAAGGAAATCAGTTAACAAGTTGAGCAGCAATTTAAGACAATAAGATGACAGTCTCTACATGCAGAACTGTCCTAAAACACAGTTGCCATGCTCTTCACAGGCTAGTTAAGAAAGTATGATGCTTATCACTACCTATCACATATAACCAGTTAAAAATCCACTGCCTTCTAATTTGATCCTATCCTATACACATCGTTATTTCTTACTACTCTCAAAAAGAATGATACTCTGACCCAGTCAGACTGGTAAAGCTAATATGCCTCATTCATACAAAGCTAAAGTCTACCCTCTGGGTCCCCCTTTACTCCATGCTCTCCATCTGAAAAGCTTTCTCACTTCGATTCTCTCTCTAGATCATCTCTCTAGATTGCCTCACAAAATAGAAATTCCCACTATGAGGACTTTCTTGATCATTATATCCTTCTTGTAGTTACCACTTTCTGAATTGTATGAATGCTATCTCTACAACTAAATTCTAAGCCTCTTGAAGACAGGATGCATACCTGATACATCTTCATAATAAGTGTTTAAAATACGTTAGTTGAATGGTGAATCCGTGAGATTCTTTTTAAAACCAGTTTTGTAAAACCATAAACTGTTTCTCTTTGTTTTCCACTATAAATGGACAAATGTAATTTACAGATTTTGTTGCAAAAACAGAGTAATCCAAATTCTGACAACATGTAGTTCAAATATCTTGGATATTCTACTACTCTATTAATCTTACTGTGATTACCATAATTTGAGAAATGAAAAATTGCATGCTAAAAACAGACTTAACTGCAGAATATTCAAAAAGAACTCATAAGAAAGCAATAAACACAAACGCAAAGCAGGAATCAAAAGTAATGACTATATTAACAGAAAATTATAATGTGTACGCTGTCATCTGCTAAAAGCAAGAATACAAAGTGGTGCCATTCAAACATCTCAAAATCACAAATGAACCCATTTTCCTAATTGGTTTGAATCTCATAAATGCAAACAACTGCAAGCTACTAGATCATTAAAAAAAAAGAGAGAAAGCAAAAACTGAAGGAGGACATTTTGCAGACAACCCTACCTTTCTTTTCCCTTGTGTAATGCCCTAAAGTCAAGGGAAACAAACCATTGACAAAGTGTATTCAGTCAAAGTTCATTCTCTCCGTGTGTAAATCAGAATAAATAAGAGACAGTTTGTACATTTGGAACAAACATAAAGCAGTAAAAAATTAAAGAATATCTTGAGATCACAACAAACATCATGATTGTTTATAATAATTTTATAACCTAAATTTAAAACTTACAATAAAGCTTTACGTCGGCCATTATATAATTTAACAAAAACACTAAAGAGTTCTACTAAGTGAAACATGAGATCATAAAACAAAAGCTTTAGTGGCTAAATAATTAAATGTAATTGTATAAGCTTGGCTCATAGGAAAACAATTAGCAACTAGAACTCCACATGTCATTTTAATACATAGTTGGGGGGTGTAGAAGAAAGGGAAACCATGATTGAACTACTTCAAACCATGACAACTTTACAGAAAACATGAAAAACCATAATTAACGATCTCACTTAAAATTAGAATCCACTGCCTTAGTCAAAAGGTCAAAAGTCTGTATTATTCTATGACGCCAGTTCTCAGCAATATTTTTTCTCTATCAACGTCATATATGCCACTTAACTTTGACTATAATACTACTTTGCTAGTACCACTGAAAACCTAAACATTAACACATATGACTAATACCTTATGAAAACAAATTTAGGAGCTGAATTCTGAAACATTAAACCCAACTCATTAATAGAACTCGTTACCTGAGTAAGATAACGTCTGTAATCTTGCCGCAATTCTTCTTTTAATTTATGTTTCTTCCGTTCATAGTCATCCCCAAGTGGTAAACTTAATCCATAATCAATTCCTAGAAAAAAAACAACTTCTTAGTATAATTCATTTTCAAACCAATCTCAAAGTTCTACTTCCTGTAACAAAGCACAGTAAGAAGGAACACAATTATGCTGATTCCGAGACTAGGATTAGGGTAAGTTTTTTACTAAAATGTCTCAATAGATAATACATTCACATAATCAAAAATATTATCAAAAATATCATTCTCATCCATGAACCCTAGCCACCCGTTCTCCTGTCCAAAACAACAAACATTGTTATTTCTTGTCTCCATGCAGAGAATTTTTTAATGCATCTATAAACAGATACTTTAATATTATCATATACATATTTATATGCATGTGTGCATTACATTTACTTTTTCCCCCATTAAGATAAAGTAGTCCAGCATTGTTTGGCATCTTGCTTTCTCAAGAACAGCAAAATTAAAGAAAAGCTAATTATCTTTACTTCTTCACTTAATTATACACTAATTTCTATAAAAATAAATACCAACAACAATTTTAATGCATCATTTTCAGTCTAAGAAAACCAGTAACATGATTTTCTTAGCATACAAGAATATCGTTAATATAACATGTTTCTGAGAAAAAATTATTAGGGCCATGTGTTGCTTAGGATGACATTTCTTTTTTTTTTTAGTTTTCTATCAAAGAGCACTCAGATAGGATGCAATTCCTAAAAACTTCTGAAGTTAAACCACTTCTGATTTCACAAAAATGGATATTAATTTTTATTGTGGTAAAATATATATAATATAAAACCTACCATTTTAATCATTTCAAGCATACAATCCAGTGGCATTAAGTACATTCACAATGTTGTACAATCATCACCACTATCCATTTCCAGAATTTTTTCATCATCACAAACAGAAACTCCATAAATGCATGTTAATTTTTGAAGAAAAATTTTGAATTTGAGTAGTATTTCCTTACACAAAATTTAAAAATCAAATTACATTTAGGGATGATGATGACTGTACAACTTGTAAATATACTAAAAACCATTGAATTGTAGACTTTAAATAGGTACATGTTATGGTGTATAAATTATATCTCAAGAAAGCTATCAAAAATCAAATTATATACTTTTTAAATCTTCAATAATAAAATACTATATCAAGAAGCATAGACATTAGATGAGTATTTAGATTTCTGAAGCTTCATTCCTTTTTTAGTCCCACTATACACATAATACTATAGTATTAAAAAATTATCATTTCTAAACAAAATAAAACTTATCTTTTTTTTTTTTTTTTTTGAGACAGGGTCTTGCTCTGTCACCCAGGCTTGAGTGCAGTGGCGTGATCATGGCACAACGCAGCCTCAACCTCCTGGCCTCAAGCAATCCTTCCATCTCAGCCTCCTGAGTAGCCAAGACTACAGGCATGAGCCACCACGCCCGGCCGAAACTTTCCTTAAAGATTCAGCTATGAGCACTACAGATGAAATAAAATTTGACTGTAGCTTATAAACTGATATAAAAAATCACCATTTGTGCCTTATTTCTCACAATGTAGCTGAATGATGGGAACTTTTCAAGAATGTGTCATATCACTGCTTTACTACATCACTGAAACATTTCAGGCAGGGAAAAGACCAGCGTAATATAAACATAAGTGGATGTTTATGGATTCTTACAGAATACTAAAATCCACTTACCGCTATCAACAATGGAATTCTCTTTATAAACATTTCTGGTCTATTTAACTCCTTGATGATAGAGGGTATAACAGAGGATTCCTTAGGGACACCTCTTACACATGCTTCTAACTCTCTTCCAAAAGAAACTAAAGCATTCCATATGCTGGGAATTTTAAATCATCCTAGAAAGGAACTGTTTCCTCTTGAAGGAATCTAAACCTTTTTTTAAAGATACAGAATTTAAGCCTAAGGAGAGAAAGATTCGATTCTCATGTTCAGAATGAACATCATATATAAAACTAAACTATAAAATCTATGAAGGCAAGGTCCATGCACTATTCAATTTTATAATGCTGGCACATAACTTTAACCCAAGAAAATGTTCATCGAATAAATCTGCAAATGAATATATGCATGAGTGCCTGAGTCAGAGAAAGAAATGAGAAAAGGTGAGAGGGAACAATATACTATACTTAATATTCCATTTCTCCTGTTAGCGGTCTGACTGCACAGAGAGAGTTAGTTACCAAAGTTACATATCACTAGTCACACAAGGTCACAATGGATGTCCTATTATGCCAAGGAGAAAAAGACAACAATGCTGCCAGGATGATGCCAACACACTGCCTTCCCATCCAGGAACAAGCAATTTACAAATTTACAAAAAGCATATGTTTAAGGTGGCTTTTATTGCTGTTTTTCAATTCTACTTGGTGGGTTTATGTGGAAGAATGGGAAGAAAAACATAATTCATTTTCATTTAAATTATTACTCATATATACATATATATATATTTTGAGAAGAAGTCTCGCTCTGTTGCCCAGGTTGGAGTGCAGTGGCCCAATCTTGGCTCACTGCAACCTCCGCCTCCCGGGTTCAAGTGATTCTCCTGCTTCAGCCTCTCAAGTAGCTGGGATTATAGGCACCTGCCACCCCTGGCTAATTTCCGTATTTTTAGTGGAGACAGGGTTTCACCATATTGGCCAGGCTGGTCTCAAACTCCTGACCTCATGATCCGCCCACCTCGGCCTCTCAAAGTGCTGGGATTACAGGCATCAGCCACTGCGCCCAGCCTATTATTCATATTAAGTTAAAGTTTTATTTACTAAGAGTATTTGCTTTTCACTATTAATTCAAATAGTATTATAAAATTGTCTTAACAATTTTATATAATAAAATATATATAAATATATAATCCCTTCTAAGTTATTTATAACTTTATTAATTTAATGTTTAGTCAACAGAAAACACTAACTTTTTCATTCTTATTTTTGTCGTCTTGTACCATTTTATGGCGTTAGAGCTAAGTCACAGATATAAAATTAGGAACTATATAGAACAATGTAAATATCCTATTCTTTTAAACCATGTATTAACAATAACATCTCAATTGACTTAATGAGCTAAGGAACACGGTGAGGCTTACTTATTGGGCTGTTGTCTTCTGGTGGATCTAGTAGCAAGTAAAGCATTCGTGTCACTTTAGGGTCATTTGAAGTGATGTCACTTCATCAAGTACAACATCAATGACCCTAAGATAGTTAACATTATACTTCAGAACTATAGTAATTAGAAGTATTTGGTTTCTATAACAGTTATGGCTTATATAAAATACTTAAGACTAAAGTATATAACTTCTTTAAAATTAACTTACCTTCTAACAGGGCATTCATCATAATTACTCTATGAAACAAATTACCATGGAACTTTTACTTTCTTTTCATTATTATACTACCATAAAAAGCATTATGTAAAAATAATCGAAAGACAAATTATAGGACATAATAATAGGCCTTTACATAATGGGTGACTTACAAGGAGATGTGACTAATTGAGGAGACACTGCACTCTTAAATTACAGCTATAAAGGTATTACTACAAGGACCCATTTGACTCATACAAAATGAGTAAAAACTGTAGAAGAGTATCTGTGATTTAGTTTACAACAGGATAAACCTAAGACAAAGAGGACTGATAATTAAAACTATAAGCCTGGGTGCTGTGGGTCACGCCTGTAATCCCAGCACCTTGGGAGGCCGCAGTGGGTGGATTACTTGAGGTAAGGAGTTCGAGACCAGCCTGACCAAGATAGCGAAACCCCATCTCTATGAAAAGCACAAAAAAAGTAGCTGGGTGTGGTGGCAGGCACCTGTAATCCCAGCTACTCAGGAGGCTGAGGCAGGAGAATCACTTGAACCCAGGAGGCAGAGGTTGCAGTGAGCCGAGACAGCACCACTGCACTCCAGGCTGGGCAACAGAGCTAGACTCCATCTCAAAACAAGTAATTAAAACTATAATTAGACAGATGCAGTGGCACAAACCTATAGTCTCAACTACTTAGGAGCCAGAGAAGGGAGGATCGTTTGAACCCAAGAGTTCAAAACCAGCCTGGGCAACATAGCAAGACTCTATCTTTACAAAAAATTTAAAAATTAGTCGGGCATGGTGGCCTGAGCCTATAGTCCTAGCTAGTCGAAAGGCTGAGGCAGGAATATCCCCAGAGCCCAGGAGTTTTAAGCTACAGTAAGCTATTATGGTGCCACTGCACACCAGCCTGGATGACAGAGCAAGATCCTCTCCCTTAAAAAAACTGGGTGGTGGGGGGAACTATATGTTTTAGGACCTTCACAAATTTGTATCATTTTAAAAAGATTAATGGGAGCATTAAAAGATTAATGTATTTCTCAACAATATTGATTATTGTTAATAACAGTAATGGTTGTTAAACAGTAAGTTAGTAAGAATTTCTTTTAATGAAATAAACACAAATATTATGCCTAGAAACAGTTTAGGGAGATAAAAGATCTTTTATAGATCACTTTTAGGTGACTTTCTCTTAATATTACTAGTATCTAAGTTATTCTGACAAACTCGTTATTAAAGACATTGTTTCATTAGCTTATATGAACTAAATCATGTACATCCTACATGTAATAAAAAAAACTGGACTGTTACTTTCTCTTGGCTTGGAAAAGAAAAAAGAAAAAAAAGTAAATGGCCTTTGCCTCTATTTCCTGGGAAGTAACCTCTAAATCCTTAAAATTTTCCACACAATGGGAAGGTCTTTATTATTCACGGTGGGCACCTTGGACCACACCTAATGGTTTACACTAACAAGGTAAATCATTGTGAGCCCCTAGTGGGTTTGACCTTAAAATTTACCAGATGATGGGAACATCTTTATTATTCGCAGTGGGTACCCTGGACCACACCTAACAGTTTATACTAACAAAGTCAATCATTGTGAACCCCCAGAGAGTTTACACTACAGAGATGACAAAAATGGGAGCTGGTCATGCCAGAAAAACCAACCATGTGATTTGAGGGTTGGGCCTTTGTGCCAGGTGACATCAGCCAGGCCCAAGGGGAATGAATGTAGCAGGGCTGGAGATCAAGCCAAGAAGCAATGATTCAACCAATCATTCCTACATAAGGAAAATCCAGTAAAAACTCTGGACACTCAGGCTCAGGTGAGGCTGTTTGGCAATATGCTGTATCCTGTCACATACTGATGTGCCAGGAGGGTAATGCCTCCCTGAGACTAACAGATACTTCATGTTTGGACCCTCCCAGACCTTACCCTATTTGTCTCTCCCTTTGGCTAGTTCTGATTTGTATACTTATGCTATAAAACTGTGACCATTAAGTATAGCACTTTCTTGAGTTCTGTGAGTCATTCTTATGAATTATTGAACTTGAGGGGATAGGGGAAACCCCCAAATTTATAGCCAGATGGTCAGACCTGAGGGTGTCCTGGTGACCCTTGAATTTGCAACTGGAGTCTAAAGTGAAGGCAGTCTTGTGGAGGCCTATGCCCTTAACCTGTGAAGTCTGGTCCAAGTCACTGTAATGCTACCTCGAATCCTTTTACGAAAGGTATAAATAGTGGTAGAAAGAGTCACATGGAATTAACCACGAATATCATCAGTATCTAACAGGAAAGAATTTATAAAATCATAGTGTTATATGATAGTTGTACTATGAGCTATCAAAGATGGTTTTCATTGGATAAAATGAGTATGTCCAGTTTATATATCACTGATTACTACACTATGCTTAATTACTTATTCAAACTATGATATTACAGTGCTTTAAGTCAATACTTCATTTCCAAATTTGACCTACATTAGAGCTGTTTTTTATAATTCCTAAATGAGACCACTTAAGGAAAACCCTTAGTTGCCAAATAATTTTACATTTTTCCCAGTGTGAGAAACTATGTATTTGACTGAATTTTAAAGCCACAATTAATCAAGCAGGAGGTCAGTAACTAAATGCTTATGCGGTATAAAATTAGTCAAATTATACACTGTTCTTTAATAAAATTCCATGTGCATCAAAAATTATTAATTATGGTTTCAGATGGCAATGGAAGAAGCATTCCATGAAAATCAAAGTCAACACACCGAAGAGAATTGGTTTTATTTTTGCAATGGGGACATTAACTCGTTGGTTTAAAACATCTTTTCCAAGCAGTAAGTGCTGCACACTGTGCTAGGCAGTGGAAATACAATAGGAGGCAAGTTAGCATATCACTGTGGTACAAAAGAGAAGCTGAATGAGTTCAAAACTACTCTTCAAAAGGAAAACCAATCCTCTAGAAGCACATGACAGGATTGACCAACCCAATCTAGCAGAAATAATAAGATGGAACATTTATCATACAAGAAAAAAAGAAGTTTGAAGCACAGACTAATATGATCAGATTTGTTTTATGCAAATATATAAAAAACACACAGCGATTTGGTAGAGGGGGCTAGACTGTAAAACAAAACCACCAAAAACACTAGGAAGCTTTTACAAAAATCTTACAGACAACAGAGGCCTGCATAAAAGAAAGTCAGTGGGATTACAGTCAAGTGACCTTATTTGAGATTTACGCATCAGAATCAACTAGACTTGTGTAACTGCTTGATATAGGAGACAGGAGAAGACAGGAATCAAGGATGACTAGGCAGCCAGCTCAGTGAGATGGGGAGCACTTGAAAGTTTGACGTGAGTATAAGTTAATTTTGCAAATTTTGATTTTGAGCCCATGCCATACATGACCATACAAGTACAGATGTCCAATAGAAAATCAGACATATGGATCAAGTTCGCAATAGCACCTAGGACTGGGATAAAGATTCAGAAGTCATGAACACACCAATAGTAAATAAAGCCCTGTGAGCGGATATGGACACTCGGGGAGTGTATAAGATGAGAAGTCGGCCTAGGTCAGAGGCCCAAGTAACACCAATTAATGAAAAGGCAAAGGTCACTATCTTTTAGTTATACTTTTAACTCTCCATCATATGTGAATGTAATGATCAAAGAATAATTCCTAAGACAATTCAAAAACCTACATTTTTTTTTTTTTAATTGAGATGGAGTCTCTCTGTCGCCCAGGCTGGAATGCAGGGGCACAATCATAGCTCACAGCAACCTTCACCTCCTAGGTTCAAGTGATCCTCCCACCTCGGCCTCCCAAGTAGCTAGGATTATAGGCTTGAGCCACCATGCTGGGCTAATTTTTTTGTATTTTTAGTAGAGACGGGGTTTCACCATGTTGGCCAGGCTGGTCTTGAACTCCTGACCTCAAGTGATCTGCTGGCCTTGGCCTCCCAAACTGTTGGGATTACATGAGCCACCATGCCCAGCCCGAAAAACTACTTTTAAAAAGATGGAAGGCCAGGCACAAGTGGCTCACACCTGTAATTCCAGAACTTTGGGAGGCTGAGGCAGGCAGATGGCTTGAGCTAGGGAGTTCGAGACCAGCCTGGGCAACACAGCAAAATGCTACCTCTACAGAAAATATATGTATATATGAAAAAGTCAGCCAGCATGGTAGTGCTCACCTGTAGTCTCAGCTACTTGGAGGCTGAGGAGGGAGGATGAATCACTTAAGCCTGGAAAGTGGAGGTTGCAGTGAGCCAAGATTATGCCACTGCACTCCAGCCTGGGTAACAGAGTAAGACCCTGTCTCAAAAAAAAAAAAAAAAAAAAAGATGTAAAGGAGAAAAAGAAATTAATATTTATTGTGTACCAATTATGTGCCAGCCATCTTTTCACATATTTAACTTTCACCCATAACGACTTTTTGAGATAAATGTCATAAGGAAACAAAGTTTAGCTCCTGAGAGGTCATAAAGGCGCCACAGCCCAATCCAAAGCAAGCTGTAACCCTAGAATTTAAAATGGATTCTGATGAACCTTAGCGACCTTAGTGCTTGAGATAACCTACTATTAAACTTTTTAAAAATTATCTCTTGGAATAATTAAAATTTAGATTCATAAAAATGTAGCGCTGGAAGATAATCAAACTTATTTCACAGAAAAAAAAATTGAGAGCCTTAGAGATTAAAAAATTTTACCAATACGTAATACTTTAGTTCACTCATGTTACATATTCATAATTTATAAGAGATTCAAAATGGAAAGTTATCTGTATATCTGATATTAAAAGTAGGGCACTCACTTTGAGCTATTTGTCTAATGGAGAGACAAAGCTTACTAACTATTCAGTTTCTTGGCTGGCATCCCCTTGTATCCACTGGCACGCAAAAACAATTTAGGAGTATACCTACAGACATGAAAAGCTGTCCATTTGAGAACAATGCTTTATCCAAATGAACTTATCATAGTTGACTTTCTTTTTGTGAAAAAGTTTGTCATCATCAATAAATCACAAAATGCACATTAAAAATATTCATACAGATCAGGCACAGTGGCTCACGCCTGTAACCCCAGCACTTTGGGAGGCCGAGGTGGGAGGGCAGATCACCTGAGGTCAGGAGTTCGAGACCAGCCTGGCCAACATGGCGAAACCCTGTCTCTACCAAAAATATAAAAAATTAGCTGAGTGTGGTGGCATGCGCCTGTAATCTCAGCTACTTGAGAGGCTGAGACAGGAGAATCGCCTGAACCTGTGAGGAGGTGGAGGTCGCAGTGAGCCAAGATCATGCCACTGCACTCCAGCCTGGGCAACAGGGCCAGACTCAGCCTTGGGGAAAAAAAAAAGTATATATATATATTCATACAGACTGGGCACAGTGGCTCAGGCCTATAATCGTAGTACTTCAGGAGGCCGAGGCAGGAGGATTGTTTGAACCCAGGAGTTCAAGGTAACACTGAACTATGATCATGCCACTGCACTCCAGCCTGGGTGAGAGAGACCCTGTATTTAATAAATAAACAAAAATTTTTACATATTCATACATTTTCTTTTTTTAAAATGTACACCTACCAACAAGCCAAAATGTGGTAAAAAGTTTCCAAATATTTTCATACCATACCATAATCAAAGCATTAGTATGGCTACAGTATTAACTTCTTTACAACTCCAACATGATCATCAATAATTAAAATAGTCTTTCACCAAACAGCATTTTGTACCCTTTAAGCATATTTATTTAATTTTTAAATAAGCAAGTTCACCATTTTCAGTCAACAAATAAAAGTTTCTCTTCTCTTCTTCTCTCTCTCTCCCTCGCACTCTCACACACACACACACACACACACACACAAACTCCTTTCAAAGTTTTCAATTTTTAAGTTATGTTATATACAACTACTTCTATAAGTTCCACAAATCATAACTAATGCAGTATCACATAAAACAAGTACAAAGTTTTCAGTATGAGTTATATTTCATATGTAGACCATATTGACTTATATAAGATTCCAGAAAGAAAAATTACTAGGATTCCAAATAAATCTTTTTTTCTGATAAGACAAACCTCTTTCAGAAGAGCCCACTAAGAATATCTTAAAATAAGTTTAGCACATCTAATGACATACCTAAGGAACCCCTGGTCTGTTGACTATTTGGTGGTATGTTTTCTTTAGCCATAGAGATCAGTATCTTACTGTTTTCAGAAAGCTTCTCTGACAACTTGCCCTGAAAGAGACATAAAGTTTACAAAATCAAAGGGAAAAAAAAAAAAACCATGAAATATACAACCCACCTCAAATTTTAGTTAAACAGCTTGATGAAATTACAGAGTACATCATAAAAAAAACTAAGTGTAAGGTTTGAAGAATTAACCAAAGGTATTTGATTTTATAACAGATATTCTAATATTTAACTCATTTACTTACCAACAAATATTTACTGAGTTCCTATTAAGTGCCAAACATTTTGTCAAGCGTTGAAAGTATATAAGTTTTAAAAAATACAAGAATTTCTGCCATCATGAAGCTTATAAACTATTGGGGGAACACATAATTAACTCATGATTAGATTACGTGATATATCGACAGTGGCAGCAAGGGGTTATGGGAAAAGAAAACAGATTAAAGTAAGGAGGCCCAAAATGGTGGGGGAGGGACTACAAGGCCTCACTGAGCAGGTGATACTTGAACCAAGACTTAAAATTGCTTATGTACAAATTAATATTAGAAATTATAGCAAAACTGTCTTTAAAGCTATGTACTCCAAATTACGTAACTCCAAAGCCATAAGCTGGTCCTAAACACTGGAGAGTGGTTAAGAGATAGACTCTGGAGCTGCATAAAGGTTCTACTCCTCAATCCACCACTGTGTGGACCTGGACAAATTACTTAACTCCTGTGAGCTTCACTTTCTTAATCCATAAAACAAAAAATTTTCACCTACTTAACAGGGATATTATGATTAAATAAAATGATACATATAAAGTCCTTGGCATTCCTGGTACATGACAGGTTATTATGGAAGAAAGGCAATCTATTATGTTGGTTCCGAGGACAAGCACTGGAGCCAGGCTGCCAGGGATCAAAGCCTAGTTCCACCAACTCTACTGCTTTAGTCTCATTACTTAACTTGCCTCAGTTTACTCATCTGGAAAATTACAATAACAGCACTTACCTCATAGATTACTGTGAAATATAACCTCTTAAGAATATGCCTTGTCCATAGCTAGTACTCAATAAATGTTAGCCATGTAAGTAAAATTGTAATTAGGGCATCTATAGTATTTGTCATCTCAGCCAAGATACCTTTGTCCAGGACAAATGCTAAACCAGAAAAAAACACTGGACAACAGGTAAACCAGGATCATCTTGAACAAACCAATATATATGGTGACTTTCATTATGATGAACCATATGACACAGATTAAACTACATGCTGTATCTTATTACACACACTGAGCCCTGAGAAGGTGCCACAACACTCTAATCAGGGCTGTATTCTCAGAGCTTAGCATAGTACCTAACACAATCTCAGTAAGTATTTGCTAAATGGATAAATCAGTTTCACCTAAACAAGGAAAGCTTTAAGAAAGCCTTTCAGACATTGCTTTAAGAAACAATTATTTTAGGCTGGGTGCAGTGGCTCACGCCTGTAATCTCAGCATTTTGGGAGGCCGAGTGGGTGGATCTTGAGGTAAGGACTTCAAGACCAGCCTGGCCAACAAAGAAAAACCCCAACTCTACTAAAAATACAAAAATTAGCCAGGCATAGTGGCGGGCACCTATAGTCCCAGCTACTCATGAGGCTGAGGCAGAAGAATCACTTGAGCCTGGGAGGCGGAGGTTGTGGTGAGCTGAGATCACACCACTGCAGTCCAGTCTGGCCAACAGAGCGAGATTCTATCTCAAAAAAAAAAAAAAAAAAGCACTTATTTTAAGAAATTTATATTAAGAAATATAAATAGTATGAAATAAATTAATAAACTCACTTCTGTAGATTTCAAAAAACTTTTTAAACTAATTAAATCGAACTTTTTCACACAGACCATAAGAACTTGCTTTTACAACTATTCTGTTTATGTTGCGGAAGTTCTTTGTAATGGAACTGGTCTCATAATCATTTTATAAACCAAATAATTCTTCAACAAGAGATTAGAGAAACACTGTGATATATAAACCACCACAAAATAAAAACTGCATTCAAAATTATTGCAATCCTGTCTGGAGTTAGGCTCCCAGAATGACAGCATAGAACAAAACAGAAGATTCTCACTCATAGAAGAGGATGTTTTGCATTTACACAGGAGTAATCTCCATAGACAATTATAATAAAACATGTTCAAAGAAAATTATTAAGTTTACCTTCATTTCCATGTAAGGTGGATCACTTTCCAACTCTGCTTTGTCTTTGGCCAATTTGGCTTTTCGCTCTTCGATAAATTCATCCAAATTATCAGCCATTTTGCAGATTCTTTTAAAAAAATTTCAATGAGCATATCTGTATCACAGTATTTTTAGCCTAATTATCAACATGTAAACTTAGCCCACATTTAGTTTTCAATCTCATTTATCAAATTGAGAAATTCAAACTTAAGATTGATCATAAATATGCCTGCCTACTGCCTCTCCCAACTTCCCCAAAAAGCCTACAATATACTTTAAAATATCTGAAATAAAAAGAAAATGAAAAACTACCACCACCCTCCATATACACCCTCTCCCCGGCAAAAAACAAAGGCAAGCAAACAAAAAGTTCTTTAAATCCTTAAGCCAAAGCACTTTAAAAATAAATAAGTAAATAAAATAAAAAGTTTTTTTTAACTACTGGGAGATAATTTCTGACTTACAGAGAAGTTACAGTAATAATACCAAGAACATACAAAGATTCTTTATTAATTCCCTATTAAGATTTTGCTCCACTTGCTTCATCCTTTGCTTGTGCACACAAGGTCATTCTCTCCATACACACAATTTTTTCTAAAATTATTCAGAGAATAAAGTACATATATCATAGCCCTTTGCCCCTAAGCTCTTCAGTGTATGTGTCTTAAGAATTGGGTTATTTTCTTATATAACCTCAACATAATTATCAACTTTTGTAACACTGATTTTTTAATCTATTGTCCATATTCCACTTTTGTCAACTGACTCAATAGCAGCCTTTAGAGCCTATTTTTCTCTAATTCAGGACCCCATCTAAGTTAGGTATTGATTGCATTTCCCTGTTATATCTCTTTTGCCTTATTTAATTTGGAATATCTATCTCTACCATCTTTTTGTCTTTTACCAATTTACACAGGTGAAAGAATCCTGTGTAATAGAACAACCTTTTCAATAGAACATCCCTTATCTGAGATGTGCCTGATGTTTCTTCATGACTAAATTTAGATTATGCATTCTCATCAGATATATTAGGTGAAATTTCAAGGTGTCACAAAGAGAAGGCACATGATATTTACCTGCCCCTCGTTAGTGATGGTATTTTTGATCATATGGTCAAGATGTTGTCTAATTTCTGAACTGCTAAACTGTTCCTCAAAGTATAAAGTACCATATTACATTCCAATGTATAAGAATGTATGTGGGTTGTAATGACAATTGCAATTTCTACACATTCTTGCCAAGGTGTGATATTTTCAGTCATTTTTATCTTAGTCATTCTATTCTGTATTTAGTGGCATCTCTGTGAGGTTTTAATCTGCATTTCTCTGAGAACTATGATGTTGAGCATCTTTTCATGTATTTATTTACCATACATATAATCATTGGGAAAGTATCTACTCAGATCTGACCTTTTGTTAAAATTAGCTTTTCTTTCTTTTTTTTTTTTTTTTTTTTTTTTTTTGAGACAGGCTCTCACGTTGTTTCCCAGGCTGGAGTGTAGTGTTGCCATCATAGTGTACCTTCTGCCTTGAGCTCCTGGGCTCAAGCAATCCTTCCACCTCAGCCTCCTGAACAGCTAGGACTATAGGTAAGCACCACCATCCCCAGCTAGTTTTTTCATTTGTTTGTTTATTGCAGACACAGGATCTCACTATGTTGCCCAGGCTGGAGTGGTATGATCACAGCTCAGTGTTACCCATTCAATTCCTGGACTCAAGTGATACTCCTGCCTCGGCCTCCTAAAGTGTTCGGACTACAGGTATAAGCCATGAAGCCCAGCAGGTTGTTTTATTACCATTAAATTGTAAGATTTCTTTATATATACTTGATAAAAGTCCTTTATTAAACTTGCTTTATTTTTACAAAGCAATATTTTACAAAACTTGCTTTGTAAAAATATTTTCTGCCAATCTGTGCTTTGTAAGTTTTCTTGATATATTTTTAACAGTGAAAGTTTTTAATTTTTATCAAGTCCAATTTAACAATTTTTTCATCAATTTTTAAATTTATTGTTTGTACTTTTTGTGTCCTATCTAAAAAAAAATTTTTTTTGTTTGAGACTGAGTCCTGCTCTCTCGCCCAGGCTGGAGTGCAGTAACGCAATCTTGGCTCACTGCAGCCTCCGCCTCTCGGGTTCAAGCAATTCTCCTGCCTCAGCCTCCTGAGTAGCTGGGACTACAGGCGCATGCCACCACGCCAAGCTAATTTTTTTGTATTTTTTGTACAGATGGGGTTTCACCGTGTTAGCCAGGATGGTCTCGATCTCCTGATCTCGTGATCCGCCTGCCTCGGCCTCCCAAAGTGCTGGGATTACAGGCATAAGCCACCGTGCCCAGCTAAAAAATATCTTTGCCTAACCCAAGATCACAAATATTTTCTTTTATGTTTCCTTTTAGAAGTTTTTAGTTTTTTCTCTTACATTTAAGTCTATGATCCATTCAAAGTTAATTTTTGCAAATCTGTAAGGGTCAAGACTCAGCTTTTTTGCATATGAATAGAGTATTCCAGCACCATTTTTTGAAAGGACTAACCTTTCTTCATTTAACCTAGAATTTTTTTCCAAATATATCTTCCAAAGTCCCATGAAAGTTAGCATCTAATTGGGTACGTAGAAAAAAAAGAAGCCACTAATGATCAACGTTTTAAGGCCTGGAAGCTAAATGTGGATAGAATCTTGGACAGAAGTAAGTCAGAGCAAGTTGGAAGATTTAGAAAGGTTTGGTTTACATATGTTAAAAGGTTGGAGCTAGTAAGATGTGCTACTGGAAATTTCCAGTAGATGGTTATAAATGTAAGATTCAAATTCAAGAAAATGAACTACATTAACCATGTATTTTAAAGATAACAGTTGAAGCCACAGTAAATGAGCACAGACAGGGAAAAAGAGAGATGACCCAGAACTAAACAACAGCCAGTGTTCACTTGAGGGAGTGACAGAAGAATTGAAGCTGGGGAAAAAAAAAAAAAAAAAAAGAAGGAAAAATTAAATAATAATTAAAACAGGGACATGAAACAAACCCAATCAGCATAATTAGTTGAGGAAAAGAGGAGAGATACAAAATAGAACTAGTGAACAGTATCAAACGCAAGCAAGTTAAAGAAAAAAAGCATCCACTGAACTTAATGTTTGGGACAATAATAATTTGTTATATATATATATATACACACACATAATTGTAGAAAAGCAGGCTTTACCTAAAAGAATATGTTGAAACTTATAACTGGTAAACAGTACCTAATGTAAACTTCATGCTATTATTTACTACCAAACGAAACACTGATTTTAAAACATAGCTTTAGGCTGGGCTTGGTGGCTCACACTTGTAATCCCAGCACTTTGAGAGGCCAAGGTGGGATCACTTGAGCGCTGAAGGTCAAGACCAGCGTAGGCAACATAGTAAGATCTCATCTCTACTAAAAATAAAAATAAAAAAAATTAGCCAGGCATGGTGGTGCATCCTGTCGTCCCAGCTATTGGGGAAGCTGAGGCAGGAGGATTAGATCACTTGAGCCCAGGAGATCAAGGCTACAGTGAGCTTATGAGCATGCCACTGGACTCCAGCCTGGGCAACAAAGCAAGACCCAATCTCAAAAAAAAAAAAATTAAAAATTAAAAAATATATATATTTACATATATAGTTTTAGCAAAATATATTACAAATCAACAAAAGTTGATACATTCTGGTCAATTTTTTCTTGTTTTTTGTTTTTTAGAGATGAGGTCTCGCTCTGCTGCCCAGGCTGGTGTGCAGTGGCACGATCATAGCTCACTGTAACTCTGAACTCCTAAGCTCAAGTGATCCTCCCACCTTGGCCACCAGAATCACTGGAATTATAACTGCCAGCCACCACATTCAGCTTATTTCAGCATTTTTTTTTTTTTTTTTTTTGAGACGGAGTCTCGCTCTGTCACCTAGGCTGGAGTGCAGTGGTGCAATCTCAGCTCACTGCAAGCTCCGCCTCCTGGGTTCACGCCATTCTCCTGCCTCAGCCTCCCGAGTAGCTGAGACTACAGGTGCCCACCACCATGCCCAGCTAATTTTTTTGTATTATTAGTAGAGACGGGGTTTCACTGTGTTAGATAGAATGGTCTCTATCTCCTGACCTCATGATCTGCCCGCCTTGGCCTCCCAAAGTGCTGGGATTACAGGCATAAGCCACCATGCCCAGCCTATTTCAGCCATTTTTAATTTGCTAATAGTCACAAAAGATTCTTCCTAAATCTTTCTGAAACAAAGATTTCCTAAATCCTAAAAATTCTGAACAACTCAACAGCAAACAAGTTATCATGTTTAAAAAAATCAATCCCTAAAATCCTCTAATCTTCCTAAATATTCTATGTCTTGACAGGAATAAAATGATGAGATAATGCATATATTTTGCTATAGAATTTTGCACAGAATTTAAACAGAATATCATTTATCTAGGCTGGGGGCGGTGGCTCACGCCTATAATCCCAACACTTTGGGAGGCTGAGGCAGGTGGATCACCTGAGGTCAGGAGTTCGAGACCAGCCTGGCCAACATGGCGAAACCCCGTCTCTACTAAAAATACAAAAATTAGCCAGGCATGGTGGTGTAAACCTGTAATCCCAGCTACCAGGGGACACTGAGGCAGGAGAATTGCTTGAACCAGGTAAGTGGAGGTTGCAGTGAGCTGAGAGCATGCCACTTCACTCCAGTCTGGGCAACAGAGTAAGACTCCGTCTTTAAAAAAAAAAAAGAAAGAAAGAAATGTCATTTATCTAAAAAGAAAAAAAAGCAGTAACATGCCACCTTCACACGGAACTAAGGTTTCCATACAACCTATTAACAATTATTAACATGTTCATTTACATGTTGGTCTAACCAGGCTTTGAAAGATCTCCCTTTTGAATTTATAGATGCTTATATTTATCTTTACTGTGATTATTTAACATTATAAATTATAGAACTGATTTTAACTTACAGTAATCAAAAGTACAAAAAGTACCAATAATAAAACATACTTTTAAACAACCATAGTAAATATAGCATATGCCATAACTAAAACGTAAGATTTACCCAAGATATAAGTACATTTCTAATCACTTCTAATTTTGTCCTATAT